CGAAAATACTCAATCTGCGGACAGCATGCTGTTTCGTTCTTTGTGAACTCATCAGCGCAGAGAGAGAGAGAGAGAGAGAGAGAGAGAGAGAGAGAGAGAGAGAGAGAGAGAGAGAGAGAGAGAGAGAGAGAGAGAGAGAGAGAGAGAGAGTGTTAGCGCCGCATGAACACCTGCCAGCTGGCAGCTTGATTACACTAATCAATCACGCAGATTCACGTAGCTAATCAGTAATCTACAGCGCAGCTCCGAAACTGCGCCAAGAGAGGTTGCAGCTCACACCTCGTATTTCTTCTGCTCCAAACTTTTCCCACGTGCCTTGCTTTGAGTGTTGCCTTTGTGAAAGTAGAGTTCGCTGCTGTTGCCTGGCTTTCACAGTTTTGCTCCTTGCTTTTTCTTCAGCTCCTAGCTTTTCCTCGCTGCCTAGCTTTTGCAGTTTTGTCCGTAGCCTCGTAGCTGTTTCTTCGTGAACATCGCATACGATGAGTTCAAATCAGTTGTTGCAGAGATTGCGTGTCGCCGAGCTGCGTGAACAGCTCGAAATGCGCGGCCTAGACCCATCTGGCACCAAATCGGTCCTGATAAACCGACTCGAGGGAGCCGTAGACGAACGTGAGGACTTCGTTCCTGCTACTGCGGCTTCTGTTGCTGTCACGGAGGACCCGGATAATTCGGGTCGTGACAACTTTCAGCAGGAACTGCGGCGTATGGTGCGCGAAGAAGTATCAGCTGCAATCGGCACAGCGTTGTCGGGAGCACCAGAGGCGGCCTCTCAAACCACGGCAACTGTCACCCTGTCCAATCCTGCACCTTCTATCCCCGGGTTGAGCTCCATTGCATCTGCGCCGGCGGCTAGCAGTACCGAAACCTCGGCAGCAGCTCACCTCCTCGTGCCCAAGTCACTGCAAGATCGCATCGTGAAAGGTGAGTTCATTGAGCTGAACTTACTGTTGCCAGAGGGGCTAAGCAATTTTGTCTCTCAACCTGAATCCCGCTCGTTCGAGCTTCGTACCCCCAATCAGTCTGGGGGAAGTAAGCAGTCGCTGGAACTGGTTGAAACCAGCGACGGTCGCCAAGTCAAACGGCGAGTACACGACATCGCAACATGGCTAGAGGCATGGACCTTGTACACGGGGGTTGTCTGTACTCACGCACCACACCGTCTCCACGAATTGTTGGCGTACCAGTCCATCATCCTCAAAGCCAACCGCCAGTATCTGCCAGCTGCTTGGCTCAGCTATGACCAGCAACTTCGGCTGTCAGCCTCGCTCCAGCCAGGCAAGCGCCTGGATATTATCGACAACAATCTGTGGCAGCTATCCGTCACGGGTAAGGCCAGACCAGCATGTCCAGTATGCCACACTGTGCACCCTCCTTCCAGTCAGTGTCCTTTTCGTCCGAACAGAAGCCCCCAGCAGTATCAGCACGGGTCCACGCTCACCCGTTCTGAGAGCGGCCGAATCATCTGCCGTAACTTTAACTCCGGCCAGTGCCAGCACAAGTCGTCCTGCCGCTTCCACCATGTCTGCAACACATGCGGCGGCAACCATTCCCGCCAACAGTGCCCCAAGGCTGGGACCAAATCCCGAACCACTTCTCAGTAAGGTCCGCACCTCCGATAGTTTGCCTTCAGCCAGTACTCTCCACGCTTCCACATTCCGCTCACCTTTGCATGTTACCCGCTTTTCTTCCTTGCTATCTACCCACCCAGACCCACAGTTTTCACGATATGTTCTGCATGGCTTGCATCATGGCTTCGATATTGGCTTTTCAGGTGATCGTACTGTTAACGTTAATTCTCCTAATCTCCCTTCCGCCGCCAAACACGCTCAGTTTATATCAGACCAGTTAGCTGCCTCCTGTAGTCGAAGGGAAACTGCTGGCCCCTTCACTTCGACCCCTTTCTCGCATATGCATTGCTCGGGCGTCGGTGCAGTGCCAAAGAAAAACGGCAAAATGCGCATGATCCACCACCTGTCTAGCCCACTCGGGACGGGTGTCAATGACGGCATACCTACTGATATATTCTCGCTGCAATATGTTACTATTGATGATGCCATCAATATGATTATGTCTTTACCCCCTCCAGTTTACCTGTCAAAACTGGATGTCAAGAGCGCCTTCAGGCAGATCCCAGTACGCATCGAAGATTTCCCGCTGCTTGGTATTTTTTGGCAAGGCCGTTACTATTATGAACAAGTGCTCCCTTTTGGTTTGCGCTCTAGTCCCTTCATTTTCAACACCATTGCTGATGCTATTGAATGGATCATAAAGCATCATTTCTCCATAAGTGATCTTTTGCATTACTTAGATGACTTTCTGAACGCCGTTTCTAGCCTTTCTGTTGCTAACCGCCAGCTGGCTATCTTGCTCCGCGCATTCATGCTCTTAGGCGTACCCCTGGCCCCAGACAAGATAGAAGGCCCTGCTCAGTGTCTTACATTTCTTGGAATAGAGCTGGACTGCGTTTCCAAGCAAGCCAGGCTCCCATCCGACAAACTGACTGAGCTCAGATCTCTGCTTACTGCCACCCTCCAGCGTAACTCTATTTCTCAGCGCAGCCTCGAGTCCCTTTTGGGGAAGCTCTCCTTTGCAGCACGGGTGGTCACCCCAGGGCGCACATTTCTTCGACGGCTCTGGTCGGTGTGCAGCAGGTATCAAGAGCCCCACTACAAGATAGTACTGGACTCTGATGCTATGGAAGATATCAGGTGGTGGCAGCACCTGCTGCAACACTGGAACGGTAAATCGTTCTTCTTGCACCCCAACTGGACTCCATCGCCAGATCTACAACTCTATACAGACGCAAGCGGTTCACGTGGCTGAGGAGCCTACAACAACGGCCGGTGGATCAACGGCGCTTGGACCCGAGAAGAAGTGGAGAGAGACATCACTTGGAAGGAGCTGTATGCCCTGCTAGTCGCTTGCGCCACTTGGGGCCATGCTTGGGCAAAGCTCCGTATCCTTATTCACTGCGACAATGCTGCAGTCGTGGACTGTGTAAAGTCGGGCAGTAGCAAATCAGCCCCAGTGATGCAACTACTCCGCGGACTTTTCTTTGTCTGCGCCAAACATAACTTTACCATTTCGGCCATCCATATTGCAGGGAACAAGAACCTGATTGCTGATTCTCTGTCACGCTTCTCTATGCAGGCATTTCGGCGGCTCGCTCCCAGCGCCAAGAACCTGCCGGACAACGTGATATGGCCCCAGTACATGGGGAAGTAAGCTACTACGCTGCATCCGCCATTGCCCCGAACGCACGGCGCACCTATTCGACCGGTGAGAGCAGATATAGTGCTTACTGCCAGTTGTGCCTCTGGAAACCCTTCCCAGCTACTGACTATCAGCTAAGTTGCTTTGCCGCATTCCTCGCTCGCTCAGTAAGACCATGTACTATCTCTGTGTACCTCAGTGCGGTGCGCAACGCCCAAATTGAACAAGGCTTGGGTGATCCGCTGGAAGATGCCTGGCTGCTGAAACGAGTAGTAAAGGGCATTGGACGGTGCCATGGCACAGCTGTTATCACACCTCGCCTTCCTATTACCATGCCTGTGCTCCGCAAAATAGTGGATGCGTGCCAGTTGACGGGAACTACTCAACCGACATGACCGTCTGCTGTACCAAGCATGTATGCTGCTTGCATTTTACGGCTTCCTTCGCTGTTCCGAGTTTACAGGGGAGACTCGGAGGACTGATGCTCGACTCGCAGATGGCAACATGCAGCTGTTCCTGCCAAAGTCAAAAACAGATCCACTGGGCAGTGGGGTCACAGTGTTCGTTGGCCGAGCCACGCAACCGTACTGCCCCGTAGCAGCGATGACAGCATACCTGCTCACTACCCGCCATCATCCATCCACTGGGCCACTGTTTGTGCTCTCAGATGGACAGAAGCTTACTCGTGCGGCATTTACCACCACTGTACGTTCATTGCTGGCAGCATATGGCGTGCCAAACCGGCACCTGTATTCCGGGCACTCGTTCCGCATTGGTGCTGCTATGACAGCCGCAATGGCTGGTGTGCTCGACTCTCTGATCCACGCCGCTGGACGCTGGAAGAGTGATGTACATGTATGTTTGCGGTACATGCGTATGCCAGCATCCCTTCAGTACAGTGTGTCGTCACAGCTTGCAAAGGTTAGCCATTTGGTCTGAATTTTGGCCTAGCAATTCCGAATATTTACGTGGTGTGCTGGATTCGCGGATGTTCGCTCACAACTGGTTTGCCCTGTTTGCTTGCTTGCGACTCAGTTGCAGAGTCATTGCCTGTTCGCGACTCAGCAGAGTCTTTTCGCGTTGCGACTCATTTGCCGAGTCACGTGACATTGCACCAGTTGTTCGAATCCAGCACTCCACCTATCCAATTTAACTCAACCAGACTATTCTGTGTGTGCTCGTTCATGCGTGTGGGTCCGCATGCACGCGCATGGACATGTCCGGCTGTGTGAAGCACGGGCTAATGGCGCACTAGCCAGTGGCTAGAGCGTGTTAGCGCCGCATGAACACCTGCCAGCTGGCAGCTTGATTACACTAATCAATCACGCAGATTCACGTAGCTAATCAGTAATCTACAGCGCAGCTCCGAAACTGCGCCAAGAGAGGTTGCAGCTCACACCTCGTATTTCTTCCGCTCCAAACTTTTCCCACGTGCCTTGCTTTGAGTGTTGCCTTTGTGAAAGTAGAGTTCGCTGCTGTTGCCTGGCTTTCACAATTTTGCTCCTTGCTTTTTCTTCCCCACCAACACCCACCCTATAGCTGTTGCTCTATGTTAACATGTTGCTATATTCTCTGCAGCCTATGTGGTCTGCACTTGCATCCGCTGTAACTTGCCATATTCAATTCTTTAAAAAAAACGAAAAAAAAACATACAAGTAAAATAAAACGCTCTAGCCACTGGCTAGTGCGCCATGTGTGTGTGTGTGTGAGAGAGAGAGAGAGAGAGAGAGAGAGAGAGAGAGAGAGAGAGAGAGAGAGAGAAGACAAGATAAAGGGCCTGGGTAGCTATGAGGAATATGACAGGGCAAGCAGCTACCCTGGCCAACAGACGAAAAAGTGAGTACGTACGGGGTGCATACAGCATTACAGGCCAGCTGGAAAATGTTGTAGAATGTGTTGGAGGAAGTACCTAACACTTTGAAAAAAAGGTGCAGGCGGGTAAAGTCTGGAGAAAAATTGACTGTGACCCCGGGGTTCGAACCTGGGACCCCGCATTAAGTTAATCCTTTCATATGTATCTGTTTTGTCACATCATAGGTAACTCTGATTATTGCTCAAGTTTCAATGTAACCAATGGACAATTCAATGTGAGTAATACTCAGATTAACGGGACGGGATCGGTTACATGTAATCCAGGGTATCGCTCATCGAAAGATGCGCCAATGGAATGCAACGAATACAATGCAACTCACGGTGTCTGGACTAACACACAAAGCTGCGACCGTAAGTAAGATTTATTCCTATAGCCACGCAAAAGACGTTACTTCACTAGCGTCTGGTGCTAGCCAATGTTCGCAGTGCTTTTAAAGCACTGCGAACATTGGCTAGCACCAGACTAAAACTGTGTGTGTGTGTGTGTGTGTGTGTGTGTGTGTGTGTGTGTGTGTGTGTGTGTGTGTGTGTGCCAGCTAGTTCGGTTGGTTGGTACACTTATGCCTGATTGTGTTGGGTCTGTTGCCAATGGGCTCGGCTACTTGAAGGTGTAATGTTGTACCTGCCACCTTTTTTGGCTTCAGGGTTCATATACTTTCTACTTGAAGTATACATACCTGTTAACCATGGACTGCTTCTGGCTAGATTAACTCTTGTGTAATCAATGGTGCTAGTGAAGCTTATATCAGACCCACTCTGATTTAGTCACTCACACTAGTAGCAAGTATTACCTTCACTGGCGGCAGGGGTAACTGGACGGATACCCTGATGCCCTCAATCCTTTTTCTGCACCTTGTCCTCACCAACTTACTGAGGTGTGGTGAGCCCATAAGTGCGATCATTTTCAAGTCCACCCAGAGTTTTGGGGATTTCAGGGGGTGTCGGCCGTTGGGCGGTTCAATAGCCAATTGAGCCATCTTTCCGAGATTCCTTTTGAGTCTCTCTCCCCTCTCCCGGGGAGACCCACGTGACCAGTTTTGGCATTGAGCAACAAGTACAAGTACAAGTGTGTGTGTGTGTGTGTGTGTGTGTGTGTGTGTGTGTGTGCGTGTGCGTGTGCGTGTGCGTGTGTGTGCGTGAATGCATACTTGGTACGAAGAAAACTTCGAGTGCGTTTCTCTTTCCGAACCAGCACTGTATCTCGTTCCATATCTCGTGTCCTGTAGTGCTGCAATGCGTGTTCGTGGTGCTTTTCTACTGACTGGCCCCTCATATTCTGGTTTCACCTGTTCTTCTATTTCCTGCAACTACCTCTTGCGATTGTACACAATGATCATGCCATATCTCTAAAACGCTCTATGGAAGAAGCTCTCACTCTCTATGTTAGTTCAGTCTTTTTTTTGCTTCGAGCTCAGGTTTGAATGACTCCTCACAACATGAAGCTAGCAATCTTTTTCTGTTGATCGTGCGGGGTTGAACTTGGACCAAGCCAGCTATACTGGTTGGTCCCTGAGTTGTAGTGGGCTGGCCGCGAGGCCACATGTCTATTCAGTGGCGCTCGTCGTGATTTCTGGATCTGTTCAAAAGTGCCTGCTGTGTACTTTCCTGTGGTGTGAAAAAGATTAGTGAATGGAACTGGAAAAACAACTTTTAAAAGATTTAGGCCACACCAAGTTAATTCTATGTTTCGCGTCGAATATTTTCTGGAAAAGGCACGCGGGTGGGGGGAAAAAACAAAAACAGAAGAAAAAACAAAACTCCATTCTATGTGTACTGAGCCATGTTGCACACAGAATGCCACTACCAAACTGTCAGTTCTATCCAAAACGACAAGTCGTCACAGGACAGCTGGCAGACTGGGCTGGAGCGATACAGAGATTTCATGGATGGCTCCTCCTGCATTTTGATATGAGTCGAGTGCGATCCCGCTCCATCACAACTGTGGAAAATCTCGAAGTCCTTGACACCTGGAATCTCTGCTCGCTTGGTGAGCAGGCCCTAGGCCTACCGCACGGCTTGGAAAAATAGAAATTTTAATCTCTCGCACCTTCTACGTACCATCGCCTGGAATGCAAGATTATCGAGAAGCTAATAAACTCTGATCTGCCATACTGGCTAGAGAATGTTCGTCAGTACAGCCATTGATTGGCTCGTCTAGGTTCTTTTTTTTCTTGTCAAGGATTTGAAAAGGTACGCGGGCGGGTGACGCGAAACATAGAAATAACTTGGTGTGGCCTTATAGAAAAGAAAAAAAGCTAACAGCTCTAACGCATCATGGTCGTCGTGTGAAACTGCTGCTTGTTACCGCTGCTTATTGTACATCTAAATTGTCATAATCGAAGTACGGTTACGTTACTGTTTTACTGAGGCGTTCGGTTTTGCATGATTCTTGCTGGCATAGCTTCCCCCTTTATTGATCTTCGCATCTTTGAGCCACACAAGTTGTGTGGACTGTTTCTTTGTGTCTTTGAATTGTAGTTTGATCGTATTGTCCAGTGTTCTTGCCAGTATCGTCATCGACATGCATGAACATCCGCCAACGTCCTTTACAGCTGAGATTTTCAGCTCGTGCTTGTCTTGGTTGCGATCACCTTCACCTCCTCATGTTATTTCTATAACTTAGAACCTCCTAAGTTGGAAGGCTGTTGGAGTGCGCATCCATGATGTGCAAGAGCTGTTAGCCAGTTAGTTGTAGAACGTCAGTACCGTCGGTCAGTGTCGTGCAATGTTATCGCATGAGCTGATTGTTTAGTAACTGGTGGTGTTAGTGGATATTAGGGGTGAAACAATTATACCGAATACTCGAGTACTCGCTCGGTTTTTTCAAAAATAATCGTCCTCGGAATAAATCAGAGTACTCGTTCATACATGTACATGTACATGGTACATGCATTTACCACAGAAATCTGCAGTTTCAGAGCAGCAGTCGGCAGATATTGATCGAGTGTGCAGACTGTGTGGTTAACATTTGTTCACCAGTAGAGAGAGCCCAAATGACCCACCAACCAATACACTCGAGAAAAATGACCGCCACTCGGTTCAATCAGGGTTATATCATGTGATTTTAAGGCCCTTGGTGTGCAATTTTTAGGAGATGAAGAATACTCGAACACTCGAATATTCGATCGGAGAAAATCAGAGTACTCGAACTCGGGATCTCAGTGCCAACTTTCACCCCGAGTGGATATTATAGTGTAACTTGTAGTTCCTTGGTCCTTCTTCTTTACTATAAATAATAGAACAGTTCGAATACAGGGCAGCAATGTAGTGCTAATCCCTCTGCTTCCGTCTCCTTTGAGCTCTGCTACATATGACGACTGAACTTCCACATGAAAAAAAGGAAAATAAAAATAATACCCTGAGAGAAATGAAAGTGCGAAACCAGATAGAGGTTCGTATGGAGATGGCTGTATGTGAGTATGCACATGCGTGTGTGTGTGCAGGGAAGTGTCGCGTGGGGAACGGAGGGCGAAGTATAAATAGTTACTGACCGGCCATAATGCATCGGTTAATGCTTGAACGTTAGGAACGGAGAGAGCATCAATAGTTCCTGAGCGGACAAAATGCAGCAGCTACTGATTGAACATGGCATTCCACTGATTTTTGTCAGTGGCAGTAGCGCGAACCTCTTCCAAGTCCCCCACAGTCTTCAAAGGGATGTTCTTTTCTTGGAGACCCTTGATGAACATGGTGGCGAGTGTCGTCTTGGGCCTATCACGGTGGCCGGTAGCATCTCGCTTCACGTAGCATAACATGGCTCTGAAGGCAGGTGCATTGGTATTCATCCGAAGGACGTTGCGTTCAATTGCAGATATCGGTTCAGAGCTGCACCTCTTGTACAAGGCATCATTTTGTTATGTGGTCTGGGTGATGAATTCCAAGAATTGTGCGGAGCTGGTTCCTGTAGAATATGTCCAGGGATGCCAGGTTGCCCTCCGTGAGTCCCCACGTCTCACAATTGTAGAGGAGGGTGGAGATCACGATGTTATTGTATATTCTCAGCCGACGCATTTCTGATACCTTCTTCCGGTGCCACAGGGAGAACATTCTGCCAAAGACCTGCGAAGCCTTTTCCTTGTGGTGAGCAATATCATCACCCTCGCTCAATTAGGACGCAAGTTGTTTAGATTTCTCCCATTTTTCACCTTCAGACGTTAAATGGATTCATTCTGTCTTTGTCTCGTTCACTTTCATACCCCAGACCCCGAGTGTCGTGCTTATCGTGCCCAACACCTCCTTGAGCCAAGAGAGCTCACGGAATAGGAAGTTAACATTGGTGTCTGGCTTTGTACAATTCGTTTTCGTGTCAGGTTGTTGAATGTCTTAGTAGCCTGTCAGTTTTTGCCCTGTTATCCCAATTTCTGACTGTTCACTGTTTTGTTACAGTCGTGAACAGCAAACTTAGGTAGTGTTCTCGGATTGAAGTATTTATCTGCTTGGTCCTTTGTTTGCTTTCGTCTATGCATATTTCTTGGTGTCTTGGTGGGTTCCTTTACCAATACTTTAAAGCTATCCCTGGTTATTGCTCAAGTGTAATCATTGTAAAAAATGGACTTGTGCATGTGAATGGTACTCGCATTGGAGCTGAGGCAAATGGTACATGTAATCAAGGTTACCAACCATTGAATAGTTCAACAATGACATGCCAGCCACGCAATGATACCCATGGTGTGTGGAATAATCTACTAAACTGCAAAGGTAAGTGATGTTATAATTGTCTGCTTTTCTAACGGTCAAACAGTTGTACCTTTATCCCTTTGAGGACGAAGGACGAATATCTCCGTTTAAAAAAAAGTAAAGCTGGACTCCTAAAGATTCCATTTTCAATTTTTTTTATAAATATTTCAAATATTGGCTCCAAGAAGCTCTGTAGAAGGGCATTGAGCAGAGTTTGAGCAGAGTTTGAGCAGTGAAAGTTGCCTGCCGTGAACTTTATGTGTTGAGTAACTATACAAAAATAGCTAGTGAATGGAGATTGAAATGTTCTGTGCAATTTGAGAATTTGCGCAATCAGAGAAATACCAGAATGCTCAAATAATCTGGGAATTTTCAAAGAAATCCACAGACTACTCCCCCACGGATTCGCTGTAGTCTTCATGTTTTTCTACGCAATCCACAATTTGCTCCCACAGATTGCCGCCACATGTGTCGCATCCCCGGCTCGCAGTGACCGGACCCCGAAATCACTACGAGCGGCGACTGAATATAGACGTGTGGCCTCACGACAAGCCCAACACAACCCAGGGGCCAACCAATATAGCTGGCTTGGTCCAAGTTCAACCCCACACGATCAACAGACAGAGACTGTTAGTTTTACGTTTAAGTAGTATCAAATCCGAGCTCAAAGTAAACGAAGACAGAGAGCTGAGACCGAGTCTCGACTGCCAGACTAGACTAGACTAGACTAGACTAGAACTGAAGTAAAAGAGAGAATGAGAGCTTCTTTTATAGGGTGCTTCAGAGATATAATGGCGTGATCATGGCGAGGTAATTCCAGGAAATAGCAGAACAAGTCAAACCGGAATGTGCGCAGCCAGTCAGCAGAAATGCAGAATATACGTACGCGCGTATACGGTGATCATTCGAGAAGAAAGAGAAAGAAAGACATCGAGAGAAGAAAGACCAAATTGGGACGTGGGGAGCCCGCTCACCCACGTCAGAGTACAATGTGAGTATATGAGGGTCACGTTGGGGAGCCCGCTCACCCAACGTGCCATAGTTCAGCGGCTTCTTATGGTAAGTTCTGCTGCATTCTTGGTCTTGCTTGTGTGATACTCTGACCTCTTGCGCGGTGACTGCGGTGACGGTTTTGGTTCTTGCACACGTCTCCTGTCTTGCACTTAGCTCTTGTTATACAATGTCATATTAGTCTTGGCTCTTTGCACGAAGCGCCGAGGCATCGTGGAAACCTGTAGAACGTCGTAGTGACGTGGTTTTGCACAAAGCCTGGAGTCACATTTCCAGGAAGTGAAGAACTTCCAGGAAACGTACAACGCGAGAACCTACCTGACCAGGTTCCGGCCTTGGATCCCATAACGTGTCATGCCAAGAAGGCATGTCACCTACGTGGGAAAGCGCGTGTCGCTCAACCTACATGCTAAGCACGTGGGACAAGACACTGGCCAAACCACATTGTACCAAAAGGGCGTGACAGCTCAGCACAGAGCTACTCACTAGGTAGATCCTGCTGTCACAGGACTATCAGGCAGTAGTAGTCACGTTTCTGGGACGTGACACATGCATTTGCTGTGCTCTTCATGTTGTTCAGTTCATTTGCTGTACTTTTCAGGCTTTTCAAGGACATCCACATGATGTGGACTTATCCCCCGTTCCCTGCCACACGACAGTTCTCTGACTCATTGGTTACAGTTTTAATAATACGGTTTCTTTGAACTGAATTAACGAAGTAAACTTGCCGGCGAGAGAACGGGGGAAAAAGACAACGAACTGATAAACAACTAACAGTTATAAACAGAAGAAAGGGCGAACAACTCGAAACGACTAATGAGCGATCAGTACGTACGACACACGTGACAAGAACCAAGACAACAACTCCGTGGACGAATCATACCACTCTCTCGCCCCCGAACCTTACTCTCACAGCGCATGCTCCACATAGTCCACGCATGCGCAACAACTAGTCCACCAACACTCTTAAACAGGCGGAAGCAGATTCCGCCACTCCACAGCGTACACTTCTGCATGCACCACATATACTACGTACACCACAGCCATATACTGCACACAACGCACCACACCCGTACACACAGAAGACCATATTTGACACCGGACAGGACGAAACAACAGCGAGACCAGATACAACAGTGGGTGAAAAGAATAAGCGTATCGAATTTCGCAACACACAGATTGTGCCCACAGATTGCTCCCCTACTGATTCAATGCGGTCTGCTGCGGTCTTCGTGTTTTTCTTTCTACGAAATCCACAGTATGCTCCTATGGACTGCCCCCACATGCATTCGCTGTACTCATTATATTTTCAGCAAAATAGCGCCCCTCACAGATTCGCTGTGCTCTTCAGAGTTTCAATCAAATCCACAGATTGCACGAACCACATACTGTTCGTGACGTTTGCACCATGCACACTTGTGTGTGTTCACAGACGTCTCACTGTGCCTCCAGCGCTCAGGGGCGTGGATTCACCGTGTCTGGTCTCGTGCCGCAAAAAACATGTTTTGTATCACCCCAGAAAGCGCAAATAACCTGCAGATTGTGCAGGCAATCTGGACATTCCAGATTGCGCAGCACAAGCTGCAGATTGCACAAAATCCAAGAAAGCCCGGAGCAGAAACATTCACTGGTTTGAGGGAAAGATGCAAACAGGAAAATCAATTGACTGGCATTGACGGGCACCGCAAGCACCCCAACCATGGACCTTTACTTATGGCCAGCGATGCTCTCGCCACCAAGCTATGGTGTAGCTGTTATTCCAGCAGAGACAACTTCACAATTTATTCAGACTTGCGGAAACAATAGCCTTTCTTGGTTGAGGTGTCTATATTCTTGTGTCTCTGTGTGCTTTCACTCATACATCTTTCTCAATTTTTCTGGATGGGCTCATTTGATAAAACTCAATAGCTTTCGCTGGTTATTGCACAAGTACAATCAATGTAAACAATGGAGTGTTTATTGCAAACTCTACACACATCGGAGCGGAGGCAAATGTTACCTGTAATCACGGCTACCGTCTATCGAAGGATTCGACAATGATATGCCAGAAGCAAAATGATACGGATGGCTTGTGGACTGATCTACCAAGCTGCAATCGTGAGTGAAATTTTCTTTTCTCCGTGTTTAGACGAGTAGACCTACTCTTACTGGACCTGTTCTGCCCTGGTGTATTTCGCATTACGACCCTGTATATCAACAGTCCACAACTTGGTCCTCAAGATCATGGAGAATGTTTGGAATCCGCGGAGAGCATCGGTGGCTGGTCGCAGAAATTTTTGTACATGGCTTAATATGCTATAATCAGTTCTCTCCATTTTCCTAATTCCACGTTGCACTGCTTTTACTATTGTTATGTCCTATTTCAATCTCAAATTCTCCCCATTATCTTTTCCAAAGCCGGTGCTTCCCTCTTTTGGTGCACATGTTCTTTTCTCCTATGTCTCGGCGCACAGAAGTAACGATGATTCCGAGACCTTCGGTCGGAGGCGGTATTTTTGCCCCGCCCCCACTTCCATCCAATATCCCACCTCCGCTGCTGTGCAGCATCTGATGGTTCTGTGATATTCGGAAAAAAATGGGTATTATCACACGGTATTATGCACTGCTTGAGGGGTGAAATTTTCATGCGGTGTAATTTCTGTGTGATGTGGGAGAAACGTCTTACTCTTTTACTGTTGCATGCACACCACACTACACTACACTACACTACACCACACTACACATCACTACACCACACTACACCACACTACACCACACTACACCACACTACACCACACTACACCACACTACACTACACTACACCACACTACACCACACTACACTACACTACACCACACTACACCACACTACACCACACTACACCACACTGCACCCCAGTACACCACACTACACCACACTACACCACACTACACCACACTACACTACACTACACCACACTACACCACACTACACTACACTACACCACACTACACCACACTACACCACACTACACCACAGTACGCCACACTACACCACACTACACCACACATGCACACCACACTACACCCCACATGCACACCATACTGCACCACACTACACCACACATGCACACCAAACTACACCACACTACACCACACTACACCACACTACACCACACTACACCATACTACACCACACTACACCACACTACACTACACTACACCACACTACACCACACTACACCACACTACACTACACTACACCACACATGCACACCAAACTACACCACACTACACCACACTACACCACACTACACCACACTACACCACACTACACCACACTTGCACACTACACATCACTACACCACACTACACTACACTACACCACACTACACCACACTACACCACACTACACCACACTACACATCACTACACCACACTACACCACACTACACTACACTACACCACACCACACTACACCACACCACACTGCACTACACTACACCACACTACACCACACTACACCACACTACACCACAGTACGCCACACTACACCACACTACACCACACATGCACACCACACTACACCCCACATGCACACCATACTGCACCACACTACACCACACATGCACACCAAACTACACCACACTACACCACACTACACCACACTACACCACACTACACCATACTACACCACACTACACCACACTACACCACACTACACCACACTACACTACACTACACCACACTACACCACACTACACCACACTACACTACACTACACCACACATGCACACCAAACTACACCACACTGCACCACACTACACCACACTACACCACACTACACCACACTACACCACACATGCACACCAAACTACACCACACTACACCACACTACACCACACTACACCACACTACACCACACGTGCACACCACACATGCACACCACACATGCACGCCACACATGCACGCCACACTTCACCACACATGCACACCAAGCACCACACTTGAAAGGTCATAACTTTGCCATACATTCTTCTAAATTTATGGTATTAAGCATTCTGGAAAGCTTTTTTCACACTTTTAGGGACACTACTGATTCCACATATGCCTCAGCCCGAGTACGCAGCTGCAACATTTTATAATTTCACTCATCAGTGGCAGAAATTCTTCATCTTTGTCTGATCAGTAAGCTACAGATATCCTCTCTCCACATCATTCAATTAGATGTCCAGCAGGAGCAAAGGAATCACCTTCATGCCATTTTTAGAGCTGCTCCATTGTACCAGAGTTTGATACTGTGCCCACTTTGACAATTTTCTCCGGTCCTCTAGTTTTACTCAACACAGAACAACGATTTAAAGTTCTCCAGCTTTGTGCAGGGAATCCTTTGGGCTTCAGTTCGCATGCACCGTGCGCCAATAACTCATAGGAGAAGTCCCCCCTTGGGAGATACTGATAGATGCAGGTCACTCACTACGCAATTTGTCAAAAAGTTCAAGCGTATTTGTGTTTCCTTCTTCGGCGCTCCATGAATCCACTTCGAGCTATATCAAACGACACATCACTGGAAAGCTGACTTTCCAACGAGCTATGATTTGCGATGATTGGAGAGAGGAAAGCAGAGCTATGATTATATGAACCCTGGTGTAAAAGCACTGTATAAAGTGATGAGCTGCAGAACTAGCCAACTCAAGGTTGGAGACCAGTTTTAGAACCAAACAAATTATTATTATTATTATTTTGCTTGTTCGCGTTGGCATCAACCTGCATAAAGCAGGTATATAGCCTTCGCTTAAGCTGCCATAAAAAAGAAAGCTCATCCTAAGCGAGAGGGCTAGAGGGAAATATAACGATAACGAGATACAGAATACAAAGAAATCCAATGAGTTCAACGTACAATTCAAAACAAGAAAGAAGGGGAAGAAAAACAGAGCCGAATCTACCGATTGATCCATCAATCGACAAAGGGGACTAATCCGTTAGTGTTGCAAAGTAGAAGCTGATTATAGTTGCAGATCTCCAGGCCAGGGCCAGCATATTGCCGATTCTGGATAGGTCTCCGCAGCATTTGATGTGGTAATTATCATAATGTTTGATAAAATTGTTAGAGTATCTAGTATCTAGAGTACCGAGTATCTAGTATCTAGAGTATCTAGTGTAATTGTATCCGTTATTATTGTTAAGGGTATCTAGTGTAATTGTATCCGTTATTATTGTTAAGGGTATCTAGTGTAATTGTATAACTTCAGCCATTACACACAAACAAATTGGTCCTCAATTATTACCCCAGAATGCATAAACAGCCTGCAGATTGTGCAGTCAATCTGGAATTTTTGGATTGCGTGAAATCCCAGAATGCGCGGAGCAGAAATATTCACTGCTTAGAGGGAAAGATGCAAACAGGAAGGTCAATTGACTGGCATTGACTGGCACCACTAGCACCCCAACCATGGACCTTTGCTTCTGGCCAGCCAGCGATGCTCTCACCAGCAAACTATGGTGTAGCTGGCATCTCAACAGAGACCGTTGGCAATTCAACATTTTCCTCAGACTTCGGGAAAGACTAGCCTTTCTGGTTGAAGTGCTTTTAATCCTTGTTTCTCTGTGTGCCTTCACTCATACATATTTTTCGGGATGGGCTCATTTGATAATACTCAATAGGTTTCGCTGGTTATTGCACAAGTACAATCGATGTAAAAAATGGAGTATTTATTGCAAACTATACACACATTGGAGCGGAGGCAAATGTTACATGTAATCACGGCTACCGTCTATCGAAGGATTCGACAATGATATGCCAGAAGCAAAATGATACGGATGGCTTATGGACTGATCTTCCTAGCTGTAATCGTGAGTGAAATTTTCTTTTCTCCGTGTTTAGACGAGTAGACCTACTCTTATCCTGACCTGTTCTGCCCTGGTGTATTTTGCATTACGACCCTTTATATCAACAGTCCACAACTCGGTCCTCAAGATAATGGGGATTTTTTTGAATCTTTGGGGAGCGTGAGTTGTTGCTTGCAGAAAGGCTTTGTACAGGGGTATTATGCACTGCTTGGGGAGTGAATTTGCATGCGGTGTAATTTCTGTGTGATGTGGAAAAAATTTCAAACTCTGTTACTGTTGCATTATTCAGAAGAAACACCACACTTGAAAGTCCATAACTTTGCCCTACATTCTTCTGAATTCATGGTATTGAGCACACTGGAAAGCGCCTTTAACACTTTCAGGGCCACTACTGGTTCCACAGAATTATGCCTTACCCCGAGCACGCAGATGCTTTTTAATAATTTACTCACTAGTGGCAGAATTCCGTCACCTGTGTCTCATCAACAAGCTACAGAATATTGATATCCACTCTCTAAATCAGAAAAAAAATTAGATGTCCAGCAGGAGCAATGGAATCACATTCATGCCATTTGAGAGCTGCCCCATTGCGCCTGAGTGAGATACTGTGCCCACCTCGACAATTTCTCTGGTCCTGTAGTTTTTACTCAACACAGAACAACGATTTAAAGTTCTCCAAATTCGAGAAGTTCCAGGGAATCCTTTGGGCTCCACTTTGCATGCACTGTGCGCCAATGACTGATAGGGGAAGTACCCCCTTGAGAGATACTGATACATGCAGGTCACTCACTGTGCACGCAATTTGTCAAAATGTTCAAACGTATTTGTGTTTCCCTCTTCGGCGCTCCATGAATCCACGTCGAGCTATATCAAACGGCACATCACTGGAAAGCTTATTTTTCAGCTTTCCAACTAGCGATCATTTTCGATGGTCGGAGAGAGGAAAGCAGAGCTACGATAATATAAACCCTGGTGTATAAACAATGTATAAAGTGATGAGCTGCAGAACTAGCCAACTCAAGGTTGGAGATAAGTTAAAAAGCACCAACCAAATCTGTCCTCAAGTTGTAGCGCCATTGTACAAGTCAGAGAAGCTGGGCTTTCAGCCACATTTCCACTCTCCCAGATCAAATTTTTGCTCAACAGTCAACTGCTTGAATTGCACTGAAGCCTTCTTTGCACCAAGTTGCAAAAGGGGCAGAAAAAGGACAGAAAATCAAAATTTGAAAACTGGTATATTCGTTTTTAGAAATCCACCTACACCTTAAACAACGGATATATTTGTCCTTCGTCCGCACAGGGTGAATCAAACCGTCCACGCATTACGGAAAACGGTCTTTGTGCACCGATCAATATGCTTGTCCGGCACAAGCCATCAAGCTGTCAAGCGCCATATCTCAATGATTGTTGCAACCACAGTTTCTTTTTCTTTAACTTCATATCTCGATAGTGAGAATCAAGTAAGAATTGGCAATATCACGATCATTTGACCATCCGCACCTCGTGTCAATTCTCATCGACGTGCAATGTACACTCATCTAGTACAGGCTCAGAGCCTCAGCTAGAATCCCGTGGTAGCACAGGATCAGAATGGAAGGGGTAATGAATAAAGCCAGCGAAATGCGCTGGATTAGTGTAATAGTTTCTTGGTCGAAGAAAGCAAACCAGCACATGAAGCACAGAAGCCATATCGCTTCGACTAGTCCTTTTGTACCATTACTTCAAATACAACAAGATTAAAATGTTAGCTAGCAAGTCTATAACTTGATCTTTGGTGGTCAGAGCATTCGTAAATAAGCACTTCAAAAGATAGCGCTAGTGGCGCAAACTACATATTTGGCGGTCAAAGTATTGACGAAACAGCCATTTGAAAGGTAGTGCCAGTGGGGCCAAGTGCACAGTGGAACAATGAATATTACTAGTATCAAACAACAGTGGGGGCCACAGTACTACAATGTCAATGTCAAAACATTGACAATTTTCAGTACACACAGTTCAGGCTTCAACTTGGCAATGTGCACTGTCTCATGCACAGCAAGGTGAGATTTGTAGCGCGAATGCGCATGGATTCTGAAGTGAGAATGGGTGCAAGGTTTGTAGACTGCACGTAGGCAGGTGGATGGCTATGTCAGGTGACAGAATATCACCGAGTTCTTCTCATTATCATCAGTGTCGGTGGTCGATTCGTGCGGTTGCTATTATGCAGGGCAGTTGTGCCGCTGGTGACTTCTCTGTCAGGCGAGGGGTCATACACGGTTGGTATGTTTTTAATCACCGTTGTATTCGACTTGAAAAGTAATCGTACGAAAGGTCTAGTGGAAACTTTATGACTTCTGTGCTTCATGTGTTCATTAGTGTAATCATCATATTGCGTGGCTAACCTCCCTGGGGTATTCTGTGTATTTCCTTTGGTAACTTGATGGATGCCATACATTTGCCAATACCTGATAGGTATCTCTACATATTGTTCGAGTACGATCAATGTAAGAAATGGAGTTGTCCATGTCTCTAATACTCACATTGGAGCGGAGGCAAATGTTACATGTAATCAAGGTTACCTCCCATCGAATAATTCAGCAATAACATGCCAGCCACGCAATGATAGCCATGGTGTGTGGCATGACCTACTAAGCTGCAACCGTAAGTGACCCAATATCCTTTGGCTTATATTTGTAACGTGGAACTGGTCTTATCCAGACCTCTCCTACCCAATCATCTCTCTCAGTCGAAGTGTTGTGTCATGAACTGACAGAAGGAGTCTATACATGGCAAAAGACAGGGGAAGGACTATGTCGTGAATGCGTGAAAGGATAACATCATACAGTATAGGACATCTCCCCCTTTTTTCTGAAAAAAATGAAGAGAGAGAAACACAACTGGGGGAAGAACAACTATTATGGAGCAAAGGCAAGATAGATAAATGTACGGGTTGTACATAGCCAAGCACATAGAACAGAACTATGCAATGTGCCCGAGAACAGTAGCGATAGCATGAAGCCAGAGAGAGAGAGAGAGAGAGAGAGAGAGAGAGAGAGAGAGAGAGAGAGAGAGAGAGAGAGAGAGAGAGAGAGAGAGAGAGAGAGAGAGAGAGAGAGAGAGAGAGAGAGAGAGAGAGAGAGAGAGAGAGAGAGAGAGAGAGAGAGAGAGAGAGAGAGAGAGAGAGAGAGAGAGAGAGAGAGAGAGAGAGAGAGAGAGAGAGAGAGAGAGAGAGAGAGAGAGAGAGAGAGAGAGAGAGAGAGAGAGAGAGAGAGAGAGAGAGAGAGAGAGAGAGAGAGAGAGAGAGAGAGAGAGAGAGAGAGAAAGAGAAAGAGAGAGAGAGAGAGAGAAAGTTACATGGTAGTAAATAAGTCTCTGCGCTGGCAGAATGTTGTTGCGAGCACGTAGAATTGGCTGTGACGTAGACACAGGTTGTTGCGGGACTAGCGCCGCTGGTGGTACTGCTGACACCGGTCCGGGAGGAGTCAATGGCTGGAGCAACATCACTGCAAGACGGTTTCGGCGCAGAAGACTGGATGAGGTGGCGATGCTGTAGGAGCATTCGGTGAGTTGCTCAACAACTGTACACTTGTGCTTGTCGTCGACCCATACTTTCGCTCCTAGTGGCAAAAGGGAGAGCTACTTGGCTGCGAACCATTGATGGAAGTGATATTTCTGGCAGTGGCCCGGAGATCGGTGATGTCTGGCCAGGAGGGTTGCAGGAGATCAGGTGGGCTCGGAAGATTGCTGCTGAGCATATGGCCGTACAAGACTTCGGCGGGCGAATAGCCGTTTGTAAGGGTGTAGAGCGATAGCCGTTGGCCAGGGATGTAGAGTGATAGCCGTTGGGCAGGGGTGTAGAGCAAAAACCATTGGCCAGCGGTGTAGAGTGATAGCCGTTTCTCCATTGTGTAGAGCGATACGCTAAGAGATACTGCTGTAGATCACCCGGCGCACATATTAGATGTTTGGCAGTCTGCAGAGCGCGTTCTCCTTTGCCGTTGCTCCGAGGATGCTTCGGGCTACTTGTCCGATGCGTGATATTGCAAGACGATAGGAACTGGGCAAAGGTGTCGGAAGCAAACTGGGAATCTCTGAGGAAGATGTCCGGATAGCCGTGGACAGCAAATATGCTCTTCAGGTGAGTAATGTCGGCTCGAGACGTAGTCGATGGGAGGCAAGCGACATCAATGTAATGGGAGAAGTAGTCGACGGTGGTCAGATACTGGTGGCCATCGACATCACAGAGATCGGATGTGATACGCTGCTATGGACGTTCAGGGAATGGAGTTGTCTGGAGAGGCTCTGGAGATTGATGGCACTGTTTGATGCCGGAAGTGCACTTGGCGACGTAAGCCTCAATGTCAGCAGAGATACCTGGCCACCACAATGAGAAGCAGGCACGGGCTTTACTCTTTGTGGCACCTTGGTGACCATCGTGCAGCTTCTGGAGGATGTTAGGCTGAAGCACGGACGGAACAATCATCGAAAGCCGTAACACATGACACCTTGCATGTGTGACAATTGGCCTCGCTCCCGATGGAACGGCTTGATGTTGTCAGGAACGGTAGCTGGACAGCCATGAATGACGTAGCGCATCACACTGGATAGCATGGGATCTTCAGGTGGTTGGTCCCAGAAAAGCTTTGTACATGGCTTAATACTCTAATTTCACAAATTTTCGGTGTATTTCTATTTTCGGTACTTTCGGTGCATCTGCTTCATACCTAAAATTTCAATACACCGAACAAACACTAACACACATAATCCAATGGGGAACAGCTTCCCTGTACCGAAAATTTCTGTTCACCTAACCTGGCCTTTTGCCCTCATACCAAAAATATTGAGCACCGCGTATTTCTGAAATTAGAGTATGCGATTATCAGGGCTCTCCATCTTCCTAATTCCACGGTGGACTGCTTTTACTATTGTTATGTCCTATTTCAATCTCAAATTCTCGCCATTATTGTTTGCAAAGCCGGTGCTGGCCTCTTTGATGCCCATGTTCTTTTCTCGTATATATCGGCGCACAAAAAGATGCAAACAGGTAAATCAATTGACTGGCATTGACTGGCACCCCTGGAACTCCAAATATGGACCTTTTGCTTATGCCTAGCGATGCTCTCACCACCAAGCTATGGTGTAGCTGTCATCCCAACAGAAACAATTCAACATATTCTTCAGACTTTCGGAAACAATAGCCTTTCTAGTTGAGGTGTTTATATTCTTGTGTTTCTGTGTGCTTTCACTCGTACATTTTTCTCAATGTTTCTGGATGGGCTCATTTGATAAAACTCAATAGCTTTCGCTGCTTATTGCACAAGTACTATCAATGTTAAAAATGGAGTGTTTATTGCGAACTATACACACATCGGAGCGGAAGCAAATGTTACATGTAATCACGGCTACCGTATATCGAAGGATTCGACAATGATGTGCCGGAAACAAAATGCTACGGATGGTTTGTGGACTGATCTACCAAGCTGCAATCGTGAGTGAAATTTTCTTTTCTCCGTGTTTAGACCTCTCGCTTAGGATGAGCTTTCTTTTTTTGTGGCAGCTTAAGTGAAGGCTATATACCTGCTTTATGCAGGTTGATGCCAACGCGAACCAGCAAAATAATAATAATTAGACCAGTAAACCTACTCTTATCCTGACCTGTGCTGCCCTGGTGTATTTCGCATTACGACCCTGTATATCAACAGTCCACAACTCGGTCCTCAAGATCATGGGGAATGTTTTGAATCCGTGCGGAGCATGGGTGGTTGGTCGCAGAAAAGTTTGTACATGGCTTAATATGCGATTATCTGTTCTCTCCATCTTCCTCAGTAGTTCCGCCGTGCGATGTTTTTACTATTGTAATGTCCTATTTCAATCTCAAATTCTCCCCATTATCGTTTGCAAAGCTGGTTGCTCCCTCTTGGATGCACATATTCTTTTCTCCTATGTTTCGGCGCACAGGAGTAACGATGATTCCGAGACTTTTGGTCGGAGGGGTTACTTTTGCCCCGCCCCACTTCCATCCAATACGCCACCGCCCCTGCTGTGCAGCATCTGATGGTTTTGTGGTATTCTGTAAAAAGGAAATAGAAAAAGGGTATTATGCACTGCTTGAGGAGTGAAATTTGCATGCGGTGTAATTTCTGTGTGACGTGGAAGAATTTCTAACTCTTTTACTGTTGCATTATTAAAAAATATTATTAGAAAAAACACCACACTTGAAACTCCATATCTTTGCCATACATTCTTCAAAATTCATGGTTTTAAGTGCACTGGAAAGCGCCTTTAACCCTTTCAGGGCCACTACTGGTTCTACATATGCCTCAACCCGAGTTTGCAGCTGCAAAATTTTATAATTTCACTCACCAGTGGCAGAATTTTATCATCTGTGTCTCATCAGCAAGCTCCAGATATCCTCTCTTTAATGATTCAATTAGATCTCCAGCAGGGGCAATGGAATCACCTTCATGCCATTTGAGAGCTGCCCCATTGCGCCTGAGTGGGATACTGTCGCCACCCCAACAATTTTCTTCGGTCCTGTAGTTTTACTCACCTGAGAACAACGATTTAAAGTTCTCCAGATTCATGCGGTTTCAGGGAATTCGTTGGACTCTACTTCGCATGCGCCGTGCACAAATGAGTGATAGGGAAGTCCCCATTTGAAAGATACTGATAGATGCAGGTCACTCACTGTGCAAGTTGTCAAGAATTTCAAGCGTATTTGTGTTTCGCTCTTCAGCGCTGCATGAATCCAAGTCGAGTTATATCAAACGAAACATCACTGGAACGCTTATTTTCTCAGCTTTTCAACGAGCTATCATTTGCGTTGAGCGGTGAAAGGACACCAGAGCTACGATACTATGAACCCTGGTGTATAAGCACTGTATAAAGTGATGAGCTGCAGATCTAGCCAACTCAAGGTTGGAGACCAGTTTTAGAACCAAATAAATTGGTCCTCAAGTATCACCCCAGAATGCGCAAACAACCTGCAGACTGTGCAGGCAATCTGGAATTTTCAGATTGCGCAAAATCCCAGAATGCGCGTAACAGAAATATTCACTGGTTTGAGGGAAAGATGCAAACAGGAAAATGAATTGACTGGCATTGACTGGCACCACTAGGATTCCAACTATGGACATTTGCTTTTGGCCAGCGATGCTCTCACCACCAAGCTATGGTGTAGCTGTCATCCCAACAGGGACAATTCAACATTTCTTCAGACTTCCGGAAACAAAAGCCTTTCTAGTTGAGGTGTTTATATTCTTTTGTCTCTGTGTGTATTCACTCATACATCTTTCTCAATGTTTCTGGATGGGCTCATTCGATAAAAACTCAATAGCTTTCGCTGCTTATTGCACAAGTACAATCAATGTAAAAAATGGAGTGTTTATTGCGAACTATACACACATCGGAGCGGAGGCGAATGTTACATGTAATTACGGCTACCGTCTATCGAAGGACTCAACAGTGATGTGCCGGAAGCAAAATGATACGGATGGTTTGTGGACTGATCTACCAAGCTGCAATCGTGAGTGAAATTTTCTTTTCTCCGTGTTTAGACCTCTCACCTAGGATTACCACACTTGAAAGTCCATAACTTTGACATACATTCTTCAAAATTCATGGTATCGAGCATACTTGAAAGCTTCTTTAACCTTTTCAGGGCAACTACTGATTCCACATATGCCTCAGCCCCACTACGCAGTTCAAATGTGATATAATTTTACTCTCCAGTGGCTGAATTTCATCATCTGCGTCTCATCAGCAAGCTCCAGATATCCTCTCTTTAATGATTCAATTAGATGTCCGGCAGGAGCAATGAAATCACTATCAGGCCATTTAGAGCTGCCCCATTGCGCCTGAGTGAAATACTGCGCCAACCCCGACAATTTTCTTCGGTCCTGTAGTTTTAGTCAACAGAGAACAACGATTTAAAGTTCTCCATATTCTGAAGTTCCAGGAAAGCCTTTGGGCTCTACTTCGCATGCGCCGTGCGCCAATGACTGATAGGGGAAGTCCCCATTTGAAAAAACCTGGATAAAGTGCACTGGATAAAGTGATGAGCTGCAGAACTAGCCAACTCAAGGTCGGAGAACGGTTTTAGAACCAAACAAATTTGTCCTCAAGTATCACCCCAGAATGAGCAAACAACCTGCAGATTTTGCAGGCAATCTGGAATTTTCGGATCGCCCAATATCTGCAGATTGCGTAAAATCCCAGAATGCGCGGAAAAGAAATATTCACGGGTTTGAGGGAAAGATGCAAACAGGAAAATGAATTGACTGACATTGACTGGCACCACTAGGACTCCAACTTTGGACCTTTGCATATGGCCAGCGATGCTCTCACCACCAAGCTATGGTGTAGCTGTCATCCCAACAGAGACGATTCAACATTTTCTTCAGACTTCCGGAAACAAAAGCCTTTCTGGTTGAGGTGTTTATATTCTTGTGTCTCTGTGTGTGCTTTCACTCATACATCTTTCTCAATGTTTCTTGATTGGCTCATTTGATAAAACTCAATAGCTTTTGCTGCTTATTGCACAAGTACAATCGATGTAAAAAATGGAGTGTTTATTGCGGACAATACACACATCGGAGCGGAGGCAAATGTTACATGTAATAACGGCTACCGTCTATCGAAGGACTCAACAGTGATGTGCGGGAAGCAAAATGATACGGATGGTTTGTGGACTGATCTACCAAGCTGCAATCGTGAGTGAAATTTTCTTTTCTCCGTGTTTAGACCAGTAGACCTACTCTTATTCTGACCTGTTCTACCCTGGTGTATTCTGCATTACGACCCTGTGCATCAACAGTCCACAACTCGGCCCTCAAGATCATGGGGAATGGTTTGAATCTGTGGGGAACATTGGGTGGTCGGTCGCAGAAATGTTTTGTACATGGGTTAATATGCGATTATCAGTTCTCTCTATCTTCCTCAGTAGTTCCGCGGTGCAATGCTTTTACTATTGTAATGTCCTATTTCAATCTCAAATTCTCCCCATTATCGTTTGCAAAGCCGGTGCTTCCTTCTTGGCTGCACATGGCCCAATATCAGCGAGAATCGACCTTCGGTTGAAAATCATTTTTGCAGAAAAGTCATTTTCCGCCACGGCAAAAAAACTGTTGCTTTGCAGTATACATCCAAACAAAAATTAGACCATTACGAAAAACTTTGAAAGCTTTTGATCGTCCTACAAGTGTTGTAGGATCGTTGGCTCACGATGGCCGACTGCCGTCCATCTCTGCCAGAAGTCATTGGACTTCCTAGGTAGGTCCTCACAAGATCTTTTTGTCGACGCCCAATTCCTATTTAGCGACGAAAAATTCAACTTGATTTAGGCGCTCCGCCAAAGGTGAACTCAGCTGATGAAAGCACTTTCTGACATCTGGAAATCTTCGTAGGGCCCTTCTGATTTTAGTACAGCTTCGCCCAGGGGAAATAGTCAACGAGGAGAAACTAGTGGGGCAACGGCAACAGAGGCAGTTGAACTGAAATTACCCTGATCAACTCGAGTACGGACGAAAGAGCGCTGCCGCTAGTGCCATGATCTGCCGCCCTGGACTCCGAGAGGAACACCAAAACCCTAGGACGGGGCAAGCGCTGAACTAAGTACTTGTGATTGATGAGCTAAGAGCTCTTTGCACATGATGGACTACCTCTAAATCGTGTACGAGATGTCGTGCGTGGTGTTAGGATGTTGTGCCTGTGTCATATTCCCTGTGGGATGCACAGACTGGGACTCCAGGTGTAGCTGTAGCCACCCACCCTTCTGTTCTGGACTTCTGCAGATTATCAGCAGACTTGGTACGATGTTCAAGCAGTTTCCATTGCCGTCTGCAGTGATGAGGATCAAGACCATCCATGCCCTATGCCAGAAGTTGTGCGAGAGTTGTTTTACAACAAAAACTGGATGGCTGATTTATTACACTGTCTTTTGTAACGCATAGTACTAGTATTCCGATATGGAAAACGCTGTGATAGACTGTTGTATTTTCTGATATGTACCTATACTGTTTGAGAAGCTTCTGGGTCATCAATATTGCTTTGTTCGGTCTAATACTTCTCCCATGTGATCACTAGATACCTATAGATGGCAAAAGCAGAAAAAAGTCATTTTGTGAAAAATCACCTGAAGGTCCATTTTTGCAGATACTGGGCCACATGTTCTTTTCCCATATGTATTGGCGCACAGGAGTAAAGATGATTCCAAGACCTTTGGTCGGAGGAGTTACTTTTGCCCCGCCCCCACTTCCATCCAATACGCTACCGCCCCTGCTGTGAAGCATCTGATGGTTCTGTGGTATTCAGTGAAAAAAGAAATAGAAAAAAAGAAATTCTTCAAAATTCATGGTATTGAGCATACTGGAAAGCTTATTTAACCCTTTCAGGTCAACCACTGATTCCACATAATTATGCCTCAGCCCTACTACGCAGCTGCAAAAGTTTATAATTTCCCTCACCAGTGGCAGAATCTCGTTCTGATCTGTGTCTCATCAGCAAGCTACAGATATCCTCTCTCCAAATCATTCAATAATTAGATGTCAAGCAGGAGCAATGGAATCACCTTCATGCCATTTAGAGCTGCCCCGTAGCCCCTGAGTGAAATACTGTGCCCACTCCGACATTTTTCTTCTTTCCTGTAGTTTTAATCAACACAGAACAACGATTTAAAAAGTCCTCCAGGTTCATGAAGCTCCAGGGAATCCTTTGGGCTCTACTTCGCATGCGCCATGCGACAATGACTCATAGGAGAAGTCCCCTATTTGAAATATACTGATAGATGCAGGTCACTCACTGTACATGCAAGTTGTCAAGAAGTTCAAGTGTATTTGTGTTTCGCTCTTTCGCGCTGCATGAATCCAAGTCAAGCCAAATCAAACGAAACATCACTGGAAGCTTATTTTCTCAGCTTTGAACGAGCTATCATTTGCGATGATCGGAGAGAGGACACCAGAGCTACGATACTATGAACCCTGGTGTATAAGCACTGTATAAAGTGATGAGCTGCAGATCTAGCCAACTCAAGGTTGGAGACCAGTTTTAGAACCAAACAAATTGTCCTCAAGTATCCCACAGAATGCGCAAACAACCTGCAGACTGTGCAGGCAATCTGGAATTTTTAGATGGCGCAAAATCCCAGAAAGTGCGGAAAAGAAATATTCTCTGGTTTGAGGGAAAGATGCAAACAGGAAAATGAATTGACTGGCATTGACTGGCACCACTAGGATTCCAACTATGGACATTTGCTTATGGCCAGCCAGCGATGCTCTCACCACCAAGCTATGGTGTAGCTGTCATTCCAACAGAGACGATTCAACATTTTCTTCAGACTTCCGGAAACAAAAGCCTTTCTGGTTGAGGTGTTTATATATAATATTTTATTATTCTTGTGTCTCTGTGTGCTTTAACTCATACATCTTTCTCAATGTTTCTGGATGGGCTCATTTGATAAAAACTCAACAGGTTTCGCTGGTTATTGTACAAGTACAATCGATGTAAAAAATGGAGTGTTTATTGCGGACAATACACACATCGGAGCGGAGGCAAATGTTACATGTTATAACGGCTACCGTCTATCGAAGGACTCAACAGTGATGTGCGGGAAGCAAAATGATACGGATGGTTCGTGGACTGATCTACCAAGCTGCAATCGTGAGTGAAATTTTCTTTTCTCCGTGTTTAGACCAGTAGACCTACTCTTATTCTGACCTGTTCTACCCTGGTGTATTTCGCATTACGACCCTGTATATCAACAGTCCACATCTCGGTCCTCAAGATTATGGGGAATGTTTTGAATCCGTGGGGAGCATGGGTGGTTGGTCGCAGAAATGTTTTGTACATGGCTTAATATGTGATTATCAGTTCTCTCCATCTTCCACAGTAGTTTCGCCGTGCGATGTTTTTACTATTGTAATGTCCTATTTCAATCTCAAATTCTCCCCATTATCGTTTGCAAAGCCAGTGCTACCCTCTTGGCTGCACATTGCCCAATGTCAGCGAGAATCGACCTTCGGGTGAAAATCATCCAGGTGTAGCTGTAGCCACCCTCCCTTCCGTTCTGGACTTCTGCGGATTATCAGCAGACTTCGTACGGTGTTCAAGCAGTTTCCATCGCCGTCTGCAGTGATGAGGATCAAGACCATCCATGCTCTATGCCAGAAGTTATGCGAGAGTTGTTTTACAACAAAAACTGGATGGCTGAATTATTACACTGCCTTTTGCAGCACATAATACTAGTATTCCGATGTGGAAAATGCTGTGCTAAACTGTTGTATTTGCTGATATGTAACTATACTTGTTTGAGAAGCTTCTGGGTCTATATTGCTTTGTTCGGTCTAATACTTTGCCATGTGATCACTAGATACCTATAGATGACAAATGCAGAAAAAGTCATTTTCTGAAAATCACCCCAAGGTCCATTTTTTTTCAGATACTGGGCCACATGTTCTTTTCTCGTATGTATCGGCGCACAGGAGTAGCGATAATTCCGATACCTTTGGTCGGAGGAGTTACTTTTGCCCTGCCCCCACATACATCCAATACGCCACCGCCTCCGCTCTGCAGCATCTGATGGTTCTGTGGTATTCCGGAAAAAATGGATTATGCACTGCTTGAGGAGTGAAATTCACAGGCGGTTTAATTTTTGCATGACGTGGAAGAAACTGTTTTACTGTTGCATTATTCAGAAAAAATACCACACTTGAAAGTCCATAACTTTGCCATACATTCTTCAAAATGTATGGTATTGAGCTTACTGGAAAGCTTCTCTAACCCTTTCAGGGCAAATACTGATTCCACATATGCCTCAGCCCCACTACGCAGCTGCAAAATTTTACAATTTCACTCACCAGTGGCAGAATTTCGTTCTGATCTGTGTCTCATCAGCAAGCTACAGATATCCTCTCTCCAAATCATTCAATTTGCTTATTTTCTCAGCTTTTCAATGAGCTTTTATTTGCAATGATCGGAAAAAAGGAGACCAGAGCTTTGATAATAATTATGAACCCTGGTGTATAAAAAGAAGAAAAAAAGTAAATTATCGTGTCCGTTCCCGAAGGGAACTCACGACGGCCGCTAACATCCGATAAACCCTAGCGGCACTCTGGTGTATTATGCGCTGTATAAAGTGATCAGCTGCAGAACTAGCCAACTCAAGGTTGGAGACCAGTTTTAGAACCAAACAAATGTTTCCTCAACTATCACCCCAGAATGCGCAAACAACCTGCAGACTGTGCAGGCAATCTGGAATTTTCAGATTGCGCAAAATCCCAGAATGCGCGGAACAGAAATATTCACCGTTTTGAGGTAAAGATGCAAACAGGAAAACCAATTGACTGACATTGAGTGGCACCACTAGGACTCCAACTATGGACCTTTGCTTTTGGCCAGCGATGCTCTCCCCACCAAGCTATGATGTAGCTGTCATCCCAGCAGAGACAAATCAACAATAATGTTTCTTCCGACTTCCGGAAACAATAGTCTTTCGGGTTGATGTATTTATATTCTTTTGTCTCTGTGTGCCTTCACTCATACATATTTATCAATGTTTCTGGATGGGCTCATTTGATAAAAACTCAATAGCTTTCGCTGGTTATTGCACAACTACAATCGATTTAAAAAAAGGAGTGTTTATTGCGAACCATACACACATCGGAGCGGAAGCAAATGTTACATGTAATTACGGCTACCGTCTATCGAAGGATTCAAGAATGATATGCCAGAAGCAAAATGATACGGCTGGTTTGTGGACTGATCTACCAAGCTGCAATCGTGAGTGAAATTTTCTTTTCTCCGTGTTTAGACCAGTAGACCTACTCTTATTCTGACCTGTTCTGCCCTGGTGTATTTCGCATTACGACCTTGTATATCAACAGTCCACAACTCGGTCCTCAAGAGCATGGGGAATGTTTTGAATCTGTGGGGAGCATGGGTGGTTGGTCGCAGAAATGTGTTGCACATAGCTTAATATGCGATTATCAGCTCTCTCCATCTTCCTAATTCCATGGTGCACTGCTTTTTCTATTGTAATGTCCTATTTCAATCTCAAATTCTCCCCATTATCGTTTGCAAAGCCGGAGCTTCCCTCTTGGATGCACATGTTCTTTCCTTCTATGTATCGGCACACAGGAGTAACGGTGATTCCGAGACCTTTGGTCGGAGGAGTTACTTTTGGCCCGCCCCACTTCCATCCAATACGCCACCGCCCCCGCTGTGCATCATCTGATGGTTCTGTGGTGTTCAGTAAAAAAAAGAAAAAAAAGAACAAAAGTTCGCAAGCAAGTTGGTATGGTATTGATTTATTTGAATTCCGTATCTCAACAGTACAATGTACAACTTGGGAAGACCCGACTGACATAGATACATCAACATAAAAGTGGAGTAGTTGCTACAGCTGATCATTTTATCGCAGGTTGTGGGACTAAACTAATACAATAGGTATCGGTTATAGCGTGAGTGTTTGAAAAACGACTTTGTATTCTTATTTCCGATATTTCTTACACACGATAAATTAAGTGTGACATATCATGTGCATGTGCGCAGAGGCAGGAAGATCATCGTACATACAAGGTAGTGCTACTGTGCATGCGGCTGATCACAGTCACATAGGCTTACAATGTGGCTATGCAACATGAGTTACATGACCACAATAGTTGAACCTGCAGCACTACGACCCAACGCGAGTCAGATCAGAACTGCTTTGGACTAATGTTACCACTACAGGCGATATACGTTGCACTGATCTGGCATGTTTCGCTACACAAAGTCCATACTTCGGACCGATCTATTCTACTGTACGATAAAATTGCTTGTAAGAAAAAATGTGCACATGAAATCCATGTTATGATTATGAAAACATCAGAGTTCGTTCTTGTAGGCAGCATATTCTTTTACACGACCACGCTATAACCGATACGCACTGTATAAGCATGCAAGTACACACAAAATGAAAGCTGAATAAATACGACTGCAAGAAGTTGTCAAAAAAAAGGTATTATGCACTGCGTGAGCAGTGAAATTTGCATGCGGTGTAATTTCTGTGTGATGTGGAAGAATTTGTTTACTGTTGCATTATTCAGAAATAAACACTTAACTTTGCCATACATTCTTCAAAATTTGTATTATTATCTTTATTCTCACGATTGCCGTAGCCAATAAGAGAGAGACAGTACTATGTGTAATCAATCAGCGTGGGTGCAATAAACCGAGGAAACAGTGGCTAGTGGCAGCGGTGTTTTGGCTGCTTCAAAAGACTAAGAAGGAAGTATATCCATTGTGAAGACAGGTATGCGATAAAGCTTGATTAAAATAATATAGGCTGACCTACAGTGGGGGTTGGAGCATGTCCAAATTGATGATACTATGATCGGGGTAACTTCTCTTTTGAATGCATTTATTTCTCGCGAAGGGAGTAACAGTGTGGTGGCAGGTGGTTGTGCTGAGTGCATGCGGAGTACAAGGGTGAACGTTGAAGGCGGGTGAAATGGGTGGTGGGGAGGGCAAAGACTCGATGACGCCTCAATTCTCGGCTTGGTGGCTCGGTGATGTAGCCTGAGGTCGCAAGCTGGATGTGTGGCGGGGATCGTTTGACAGCGATGGTGTGAGCAAAGAGTAGCTGCTTGAGCCTCCGGCGGGGGGAGAGGGTTGGCCAAGTGAGGTGGTGGAGTAATGAACTGTGGTGGCAAGGACTGAAGAGAGGGAGTTGGAGGCAATGTTTTGCTGTGCGCCGTTGGGAAACTTCATGGTACTGAGCATACTGGAAAACTTATTTACCCCTTTCAGGGCCACTACTAATTCCACATATGCCTCAGCCCCACTACGCAGCTGCAAAATTTTATAATTTCATTCACCAGTGGCAGAGTCTCGTCATCTGTGTCTCATCAGCAAGCTGCAGATATCCTCTCTGTAATCATTCAATTAGATGTCAAGCAGGAGCAATGGAATCACCTTCATGCCATTTAGAGCTGCCCCATTGCGCCCGAGTGAGATACTGTGCCCACCCCGGTCCTGCACTTTTATTCAACACAGAACAACGATTTAAAGTTCTCCAGATTCATTAAGTTCCAGGGAAGCCTTTGGCCTCTACTCCGAATGCGCCGTGCGACAATGACTGGCAGGGGAAGTCCCAATTTGAAAGTTACTGAAAGATGCAGGCACTGTGCCTGCAAGTTGTCAAAAAGTTCAAGCGTATTTGTGTTTCGCTCTTTGGCGCTGCATGAATCTAAGTCGAGCTATATCAAACGACACATCACTGGAAAGCTTATGTTCTCAGCTTTTCAACGAGCTATCTTTATATTTGCGATGATCCGAGAGAGGAAAGCAGTGCTACGATAATATGAACCCTGGTGTATAAGCATTGTATAAAGTGATGAGCTGCAGATAGCCAACTCAAGGTTGGAGACCAGTTTTAGAACCAAACAAATTTGTCCTCTACTATCTCCCCACAATGCGCAAACAACCTGCAGATTTTGCAGGCAACCTGGAATTTTGAGATTGCGTAAAATCCCAGAATGCGCGGAACAGAAATATTCACTGGTTTGAGGGAAAGAGGCAAACAGAAAATTTGAATTGACTTGCATTGACTGGGACCACTAGGACACTAACTATGGACCTTTGCTTATGGCCTGCGATGCTCTCACCACCAAGCTATGGTGTAGCTGTCATCCCAACAGAGACAATTCAACATTTTCTTCAGACTTCCGGAAACTATAGCCTTTCTGGTTGAGGTGTTTATATTCTTCTGTCTCTGTGTGCTTTCACTCATACATCTTTCTCAATGTTTCTGGATGGGCTCATTTGATAAAAACTCAACAGGTTTCGCTGGTTATTGTACAAGTACAATCAATGTAAAAATGGAGTGTTTATTGCGAACTATACACACATTGAAGCGGAGGCAATTGTTACATGTAATCACGGCTACCGTCTATCGAACTATTCAAGAATGATGTGCCGGAAGCAAAATGCTACGGCTGGTTTGTGGACTGATCTACCAAGCTGCAATCGTAAGTGAAATTCGCTTTTCTCCGTGTTTAGACCAGTAAACCTACTATTATCCTGACCTGTTCTGCCCTGGTGTATTTCGCATTACGACCCTGTATATCAACAGTCCACAACTTGGTCCTCAAGATCATGGGGAATGGTTTGAATCCGTGGGGAGCATCGGTGGTTGATCGCAGAATAGTTTTGTACATTGCTTAATATGCGATTATCAGTTCTCTCCATCTTACTAATAGATGATATGCCAAATAACATGCAACTAGACTTGGGAGGGCATTGCAGAGTAGTTTCATACACAGTTCAAAGTTGTACGGTTACCTGTGACTTGTGTTCCTGCAGTGGTCCATGCCTACCGTGCACACATTGTAGTATAATGTGTATGCAACTTGTGTGCAATGCCCTCTCAAGTCTAGTTGCACGTTATTTGGCATATCATCTATTCCACGGTGGACTGCTTTTACTCTTGTTATGTCCTATTTCAATCTCAAATTCTCCCCATTATTGTTTGTAAAGCCGGTGCTACCCTCTTGGATGCACTTGTTCTTTTCTCCTATGTATCGGCGCACAGGAGTAAAGATGATTCAAAGACCTTTGGTCGGAGGAGTTACTTTTGCCCCGCCCCCACTTCCATCCCATACGCCACCGCCCCTGCTGTGGAGCATCTGATGGTTCTGTGGTATTCAGTAAAAAAAGAAAAAGAAAAAAGAGTATTATGCACTGCTCGAGGAGTGAAATTTGCATGCGGTGTAATTTCTGTGTGCCGTGGACGAAACATTTTTACTGTTGCATTATTCAGAAAAAAACACCACACTTGAAAGTCCATAACTTTGCCATACATTCTTCAAAATTCATGGTATTGAGCATACTGGAAAGCTTCTTAAACCCTTAGGGGCCACTACTGATTCCACGTATGCCTCAGCCCCTGTACTCAGCTGCAATTTTTTTTAATTTCACTCACCAGTGGCTGAATTTCGTCATCTGTGTCTCATGAGCAAGCTACAGATATCCTCGCTCCAAATCATTCAATTAGATGTCCCACAGGAGCAATGAAATCACCGTCATGCCACTTTAGAGCTGCCCTATTACGCCTGAGTGAGATACTGTGCCCACCCCGACAATTCTCTTCGGTCCTGTAGTTTTACTCAACACAGAACAACGATTTAAAGTTCTCCAGATTCATGAAGTTCCAGGAAATCCTTTGGGCTCTACTTTGCATGCGCCGTGCGGCAATGACTGATAGGGGAAGTCCCCATTTGAAAAATAGTGATATGCACAAGTCATTCATGCACTATGATCATGTCCCGGAGACCAGCATCATTTTGATATGTCATACATTACCAGCATACTCGTTTTAAATAACTCGATCGTTTATAATAAACGGTACTCGATAAGAAGAAATGGATGATCGTTTCATCCCTAACAAATACTGATAGATGCAGGTCACTCACTGCGCATGCAAATTGTCAAGAAATTCAAACGTATTTGTGTTTCGCTCTTCAGCGCTGCATGAATCCAAGTCGGGCTATATCAAACGAAGCATCACTGGAAAGCTTATGTACTCAGCTTTTCAACGAGCTATCATTAATTTTGATATGATTGGAGAAAGGACACCAGAGCTACAACATTATGAACCCTGGTGTATAAGCACTGTATAAAGTGATGAGCTGCAGAACTAGCCAACTCAAGGTTGGAGACCAGTTTTAGAACCAAACAAATTTGTCCTCAAGTATCACCACAGAATACGCAAACAACCTGCAGATTGTGCAGGCAGTTTGGAATTTTCAGATTGCACATAATCCCAGAAAGCCGGGAACAGAAATATTCACTGGTTTGAGGGAAAGATGCAAAGAGGAAAATGAATTGACTGGCACCACTAGGACTCCACCTACGGACCTTTGCTTATGGCCAGCGATGCTCTCATCACCAAGCTATGGTGTAGCTGTCATTCCAACGGAGACAATTTTCTTCAGAATTCCGGAAACAATAGCCGTTCTGGTTTAGGTGTTTATATTTCTGTGTGTCTGTGTGCTTTCTTTCACTCATACATTTTTCTCAATGTTTCTGGATGGACTCATTTCATAAAACTCAATAGCTTTCGCTGGTTATTGCACAAGTACGATCAATGTAAACAATGGAGTGTTTATTGCGAATAATACACACATTGGAGCGGAGGCAAATGTTACATGTAATCACGGCTACCGTCTATCGAAGGATTCAAAAATGATGTGCCGGAAACAAAATGGTACGGATGGTTTGTGGACTGATCTACCAAGCTGCAATCGTGAGTGAAATTTTCTTTTCTCCGTGTTTAGACCCGTGGACCTACTCTTATTCTGACCTGTTCTACCCTGGTGTATTTCGCATTACGACCCTGTATATCAACAGTCCACAGCTCGGTCCTCAAGATCATGGGGAATGTTTTGAGTCCGTGAGGAGCATGGGTGGTTGGTCGCAAAAAAGCTTTGTACCTGGGTATTATGCACTGCTTGAGGAGTGAAATTTGCATGCAGTGTAATTTCTGTGTGACGTGGAAGAAATTTCACACTCTTTTACTGTTGCATTATTCAGAAAAAAACACCACACTTGAAAGTCCATAACTTTGCCATACATTCTTCAAAATTCACAGTATTGAGCATACTGGAAAGCTTCTTTAACCTTTTCAGGGCCACTACTGATTCCACATATGCCTCAGCCCCACTACGCAGCTGCAAATTTTTATAATTTCGCTCACCAGTGGCAGAAATTCGTCATATGTGTCTCATGAGCAAGCTACAGATATCCTCTCTCCGACTTATTCAATTAGATGTCCAGCAGGAGCAGTAGAATCACATTCATGCCATTTGAGAACTGCCCCATTGCGCCTGAGTGAGATATTGTGCCCACCTCGAAACTTTTCTCTGGTCCTGTAGTTTTACTCAACACAGAACAAAGATTTAAAGTTCTCCCGATTCGTGAAGTTCCAGGGTATCCATTAGGCTCCATTTCGCATGCGCCATGCGCCAATGACCCATAGGGGAAGTCCCCCTCGAGAGATACTGATAGATGCCGGTCACTTGCTGTGCATGCAATTGGTCAAAACGTTCAAGCATAATATTGTGTTTCGCTCTTCGGCGCTCCATGAATCCACTTCGAGCTATATCAAACGACACATCACTGGAAAAAAAATTTTCAGCCGTGGTGGGAGAAAGGACACCAGAGCTATGATAATATGAACCCTGGTGTATAAGCGCTGTATAAAGTGATGAGCTGCAGAACTAGCCAACTCAAGGTTGGAGACCAGTTTTAGAACAAAACAAATTTTCCTCAAGTTGTAGCGCGGTTGTACAAGTCAATGAAGCTTGGCTTTCAGTCGACTTTCCACTCTCCCAAGTCAAATTTAGCTCAATAGTCAACTGTTTGTATTGCACTGAAGCCTTCTTTGCACCAGGTTGCAAAAGGGGCAGAAAAAGGGCAGAAAAACAATATTTGAAAACGGTTATATTCGTCTTTAGAAATCCACCTACACCTTAAACAACGGATATTTTTGTCCTTCGTCCTGTGTGAAATCAAACGTCCACGCACTGCGGAAACGGTCTTTGTGCACCGATCAATATGCTTGTCCGTCACAAGCCATCAAGCTGTCAAGCGCCATATCTCAATGATTGTTGCTTCCATAGATTATTGCAACCACTTGCGGACATTTTCTTTTTCTACATATCTCGATTGTGAGGTTCACGTAAGAATTGGCAATATCACGATCATGTGAACATCCGCACCTCATGCCAATTCTCATCGACGTGCAATGTACAATCCTCCTGATGTAATAGTACAGGCTCAGAGCCTCAGCTAGAATCCCATGGTAGCACAGGATCAGAATGGAAGGGGTAATGAATAAAGCCAGCGAAATGCGCTGGAATAGTGTAATAGTTTCTTGGTCGGAGAAAGCAAACCAGCACATGAAGCACAGAAGCCATATCGCTTCGACTAGTCTTTTCGTACCATTACTTTTCAAGTCAAATACAACAAGATTAACAAGTCTTTATAACTTTCACTTTGGCGGTCAGAGCATTCGTAAATAAGCACTTCAAAAGATAGCGCTAGTGGCACCAACTACATATTTGGTGGTCAAAGTATTGACGAAAGAGCCATTCTAAAGGTAGCGCTAGTGGTGCCAAGTACACAGTGGTACAATGAATATTACTAGTATCAAACATTAGTGGGGACCACAGTACTACAATGTCAAAACATTGACAACTTTCTGCACACACAGTTCAGGCTTCAGCTTGGCAATGTGCACTGCCTCCTGCACAGCAAGGTGAGATTTGTTGTGCGCACGCGCATGAATTCTAAAGTGAGAATGGGTGCAAGGTTTGCAGACTGCACTTAGGCAGGTGGGTGACAATCTCAGGTGGCGGAGTATCACCGAGTGCTTCTAATTATTGTCAGTGTCGGTGGTCCATTCGTTCGGTTGCTTCTCTGCCAGGCGAGGGGTCATACACGGTTGCTATCTTTTTAATGACCGTTGTATTCGACTTGAAAGGTAATCGTACGAAAGGTCTAAAGGTCTAGTGGAAACTGTATGATTTCTGTGCTTCATGTGTTGATTAGTGTAATCATCATATTGCATTGCTCACCTCCCTGGGGTTTTCTGTGTATTTCCTTTGGTAACTTGATGGATGCCATACATTTGCCAATACCTGATAGGTATCTCTACATATTGTTCGAGCACGATCAATGTAAGAAATGGAGTTTTCCATGTCTCCGATACTCACATCGGAGCTGAGGCAAATGGTACATGTAATCAAGGTTACCTCCTATCGAATAATCCAACAATAACATGCCAACCACGCAATGATAGCCATGGTGTGTGGAATAACCTTCTAAGCTGCAACCGTAAGTGACGCAATATCCTTTGGCTTATATAATTATTTGTATTGTTGAACTGGTCTTATCCGGACCTCTCCTACCCAGTCATCTCCTTTAGTCGAAGTGTTGTGTCATGAACTGACATAAGGAGTCTATACATGGCGACAGACAGGGGAAGGACTTTGTCGTGAATGCGTGAAAGGATAACATCATACAGCATAGGACATCTCCCCCTTTTAAAATGGAAGAAAAACTGTTATGGAGCAAAGGCAGGACAGATACATGTACGGGTTGTACATAGCCAAGTACATAGAACAGAACTATGCAATGTGCCCGCGAGAGCATTAGCGATAGCATGAAGCCAGAGAGAGAGAGAGAGAGAGAGAGAGAAAGAGAGAGAGAAAGAGAGAGTTACATGGTAGTGATTAGTCTCTGCGCTGGCAGAATGTTGTTGCAAGCATGTAGAATTGGCTGTGACGTAGACACGGTATATTTTTCATTTTTACAAAGACCACTTAAATGCCAAAACATGAGATGCAGCTAGGGGAAGCACGCACAACCTGAATTGTGGCAGTGGTGGTGAGGTTTAGGGAGCTCCGCCGACCTAGGGTCTCGACTTTATAGCCACCTAGACGCACTAAGAGTGGGTGAGGGAGGGAGAGCGAGAGAGCGAGAGAGAGAGAGAGAGAGAGAGAGAGAGAGAGAGAGAGAGAGAGAGAGAGAGAGAGAGAGAGAGAGAGAGAGAGAGAGAGAGAGAGAGAGAGAGAGAGAGAGAGAGAGAGAGAGAGAGAGAGAGAGAGAGAGAGAGAGAGAGAGAGAGAGAGAGAGAGAGAGAGAGAGAGAGAGGAGAGAGAGAGAGGTTGGCGTGGGACTAGCGTCGACGGTGGTACTGCTGACACTGGTACGGGAGGAGTCACTGGCTGGAGCAACTTCACTGCAAGACGGTTTCGGCGCAGAACACTGGATGGGGTGGCTATGCTGTAGGAGCAATCGGTGAGTTGCTCAACAATTGTACCCTCGCACTTGTCGTCGTCCCACACTTTTGCTCCCAGTGGCAAAAGGTAGAGCGACTTGGCTGCGAACCATTGATCGAAGTGATCTTTCTGGCCATGCTTAGCCTCCTGCTCCTTGACCCGTAGAGCAGAGATGTCTGGCCAGGATGGTTGCAGGAGATCAGGTTGGCACGGAAGATTGGTGTGGAGCCTACGGCCGTACAAGACTTCGGCCGGCGAATAGCCGTTGGTCAGGGGTGTAGAGAGATAGCGGTTGGCCAGGGGTGTAGAGTGATAGATACTGGCCAGGGGTGCAGAGCGATAGCTGTTGGTCAGGGGTGCAGAGCGATAGCCATTGGCCAGGGGTGTAGAGCGATAGCTGTTTGCCAAGGATGTAGAGCGATAGCCATTGGCCAGGGGTGTAGAGCGATAGCCGTTTGCCAGGGGTATAAAGCGATAGCCGTTTGCCAGGGGTGTAGAGCGATAGCCGTTTGCCAGGGGTGTAGATTGATAGCCGTTTGCCAGGGGTGTAGAGCAATAGCCATTGGCCGGGGTGTAGAGCGATAGCCGTTGGTCAGGAGGTGTAGAGCGATAGCCATTTGCCAGGAGCGTAGAGCGAAGGCCGTTGGACAGCGATGTAGAGCGATAGCCGTTTCTCCAGTGGTATAGAGTGATACGCTAAGAGAGACTGCTGTAGACAACCCGGCGCACGGATGAGGTGTTTGGCAGTTTGCAGAGCGTGTTCTCCTTCGCCGTTGCTCTGAGGATGCTTCGGGCTGCTTGTCTGATGCGTGATGTTGCATGACGATATGAACTGGGCAAAGGCGTCGGAAGCAAACTGTGGCCTGTCGCCAGGCGAATTTTCTTTGCTTGCCTAGAGCTAGCTGGCCTCCACACTCCATCAGCTTCTAGCAAAAGGTCCACTGACTAGCTGGTGGTGGTATCATCCCGGGATCAGCTCCGCAAACAAAAGACTCCAAGGCAGCAAACTGTTGTAGTTGTAAGTTTCACTGCTCTTCCCTGTGAAGAACTAAGTGGTTGAGTGCTGATGCACAGGTCAGTATATCCTGCACAGATACAAGTACTAGTAAAACTCAGACTGCGTACTGGAAATGTTAAGACTTTCTACAGGGAAAGTCACGTGAGTTCGACATAGTCTTAAAAATGTCACATTAGTTCGACGTAGTCATAAAAATGTAACTATAATAATATAGATCATGAGTCTGACTCCCTACTGGACTTCTGACTGTTTACAGGACGACTGCCTACTGAGTCCAACATATTATACCCAATATGTAGGTTTGCTACGGGCAAACCAAAGTTATCATGGCACAGAAGCCTCGCGGCCAGCGCCTCGCAGGCAGTCCGCAATGCCGGCTGTCATCATACATTGCTGGCAAAGAACAGCAGCGAGACCTTTCTATGCAAACAAATTTGTTTGAGCACCTTGGCTTGCAATATGAGCAGTGCTGTGCGAATTTTCTGCAGCGTTGTGCGACTAGTGTCTACCGGCTTGCAATCAGCAATGTTGTGTGCGAATTTTTTGCGGCGTTGTGCGACTAGTGTCTACCGCTAGCCTACCATGAGTCGTTTTCAAACAGCAGCAACAGGAGATCCGCGAGCTAATCCACTGCATGCAACTTGCGGAACATTTGTTCCCACACAATTTCCTTCCCACCCTCCCAACTGCTACCTCAACTCACGTTTCTGGCGCACACATGACGTTGTATTTCTCGCTCAACATGTTTCGGTTGTGTTCTTTATATCTTGCCAATATGTGCTTGCCATGCCTACATGATGCCAAATCGCCATTGGAGTTATACACCCGGTTTTTTCCCTCACTACTGCGTCCGTCGGTGCAAGGGTTTTTCCCTGCTGGCTTGGTCCAGGAAAATTAAGCTGACAGTCCCAAGTGGTTCTGCATCGTGGCCTATTTCTGTTATCCGCATGCACATCTTTCCCATTTGAGACATTCTCTGTTCTCAGTGCTTGCTTTCATGCCTCACTCGTGATTCGGTTCGCATCTGGCTGCGGCCAACTACCCTTCAATTTGTGTGCTGTTGCTATTGCTGTATAATCTGTGTGTACCAGTATATATATGGCGGGCTACAATCCATGAGAATATAATAATTATGCTCTCAACTGTCATGCATACCTTTATATTTAGCATTAGGTGGCTCTACTCAGAGTCATTGGCGGCTCCATCCAGAGACATTTGCCGGCTCCATGCGGAGTCACTTGCTGGCTCCATGCGGAGTCATTTGCCGGCTCCATGCGGAGTATTTTGCCGGCTCCGTGTGAAGTCATTTGATGGCTCCATGCTGAGTCATTTGCCGGCTCAGTTGTGAACCATCTAGCGATCCCGAGCAGAGCTAATCATACTAGTTGCCCAAATCGGCGCTCCTATGGAATGGCATTGCCCTTCTCAGAGACATCAGTTGGTCCAAGTCCCCCAGGCTTCAACTCTTCACTGACACGCCTGGCATCGGTTTCGGCGGGCTTTACCACGCAGCGCGGTTCTACCGCACATGGTCAACACACCAGTCGGATGGCCCATTTCGCAGCATTATCTGACAGGAACTCTACACAATTATTGCCATTGCGCCCGCTTTATGGGGAGAACAATGGGCGCATCATGCTGCCCAACGCCAACAGACTACTTCAATAGCGCACATCATCTCTGTCAAACACTACTAATCAAGGCCGGCGACCTAATTTGGAAGTCAGTAGCCCCAAGTTCTGCCCGCACATACATGCCAGGGACAAGGGCGTATCTGAAGCTGTGTACACAACTGGGATGCCAGCCGAGTAGGCCGTCGGTTAATGACTTGCTGGCATTCATCACCCACTGCGTATCCCGTCACAGATCTAGCACAAGCAGCACCGACAAAATGTCAACGCCAGGCTATCACCCAATCAGACCTGCAGCAACTCTTGACCGTGATCCTGCGCTCTCTCTCTACTGCGAATCGGACAGATGCATGCTCTGGGCCGCCTTCATGACAGCCTTTTCGGGATTGCTCAGAGTGAGCGAGGATACTGCCGCCTCTCCCCGCTCCGCTTCGAATGGCCGCACTCTGACCTTGGGTCAAGTCTCACTCACTGGGACTCAGATCAACATACGACTCGGGATAGCGACGATCTCCCAACGTGGCACTGGGGGCCAAGTCATCTTGCAGCCATTGTCCGGCAGCCAGCTCTGCGCTGTCCAAGCAATGCGCAAGTACCTCGCTATCCGCCACGTAACGCAAACGACGCCACCGCTGTTCATATTCGGAAATGGGCAATATCTCACAGCCAAGTATGTGAACTACTGGATGACGAGAGCCCTAGGTTCGGGTGTTAGCAGTCACTCCCTCAGGATCGGCAGGGCTACTGCAATGGTCGGAAGGAATGCCTCAACTTGGCAGCTCCAGAAGGCCGGCCGCTGGGCTAGTAAAACGTACATAACGTACCTCCATGTGCCGGCTGGCCTGCCTCTTGGCCAGCAATGAGCCGGCTACGCTGCCATGTTAACATTCGCGTGCTGCTGGGCACTGTGTTTGTATCAATCCTGCCCAAAATACTCTAAGCACTCTGCACCCTCTTATGTAGGAATATGACCTTCCCAGCTTGCCCGATTAAGGATCTCTGCTCCAGCCTGGACCACATACTCAAACTCTTTAACACATTGTGTTGCGTACTGTCACTGCTCAGCTTATCTGCATGCGTGTAGCGCAGCGTTTGCTCAACCGCTGAAAGAAAGCAAGAAAAGAAATATGGCTAAGACAGTGTGTATATGGGGGGTTGCCACTAACCACTGACTCTTCTTGGGGAAGCAAGCAAAGCCCCTCAGCTGATTGCATCTTGGAACAATTCTCTCCATGAGCTTTCAAGCACTGGCTGCCCAGCAGCAAGACCACATGGTCCCAGCAGGACCAGCTGGTCCCAGCATAGACACATTGTGTCCAGCAGCCGGGCCAATTGGCACCAGCATACAGCAGGACCGTCCGGCCCAGCAGTCATTTGACTACCTGCGTACAGCCGTGCCTCACAAGGGCACAGCAGCATTAGTTAGGATCATTGGCCTTAATCTCTTGCACTGCCTGCCATCTACCAGCATTGTAACAGAATTTTCTACAATCCCGCATCTTGGAACAATTATCTGCAGGAGCTTTCAAGCACTGGCTGCCCAGCAGCAAGATCACATGGTCCCAGCAGGACCAGCTGGTCCCAGCATAGACACATTGTGTCCAGCAGCCGGGCCAATTGACCCCAGCATACAGCAGGACCGTCCGGCCCAGCAGTCATTTGACTACCTGCGCACAGCCGTGTCCCACAAGGGCACAGCAGCATTAGTTAGGATCATTGGCCTTAATCTCTTGCACTGCCTGCCATCTACCTGCATTGTAACAGAATTTTCTACAATCCCACTTTGCGGGGCCGCCTGGTATAAATGCATTGTTGCAAACAATTCGCAGATTACAAATTCTGCAAAACACTTGATATGATCCAGCCGCAGCAGCTCGGCAACCCCAACTTCAACTTGCTTCATGTGCATGTGGGTGATAAACCCAGAAATCTATCTTTCTCTCTCTCTCTCTGCTCTCGCCCTCTCCCTTGCTCCGTTGTTTTTTGGTTGTTTTATTCTTGTATAAAATATAGGAAGGGAACCTGGGATGGATGCCACTCAAACTTTGTTCTCATTTTCCTGGTTTTGTTCTTCTATGTCTCTTGTGTCCACAGAAAAAGTAGCTGCCAATACTGGTGCTGTCATTGGGGGCATTTTTGGCGGCTTAGCAGGTATTATGGTGATCCTTTCACTTTTGCTGTGCAAACAATCAAACAGGAACCAGATCTTTAGAGTGATCCACAAACATCTTGAGCTGGGAGCGCGGCCCACAACTGGCACCGTTATGGAGGACTTCAGTGGAAGTGACAATATTGATAAACGTGGGAGCACTGCAACATTGCTTACCGGTATTGATCCATCTAAGGTGGCGACCATGGCAACAAGCTGTGAGAGCACGGCCAAAGAGGTCTAGTATGGTGACACGTCACTGTGGCTGTGGAAAAGGACATTGATTAGCTGTACACTGGTTGTACACTGGTACACTGCCAAAACTCTCCCCGAGCTGAAGATAGTCACTATGACCCAGTATGATGTGAGCACACCACATTGCCAGTGTTTGAGAAGGAAATGGATTGATACAATTATCATGATGGTGTCTACAACTGGAAGCATCAACATCATTGCTATCTCTGCAGCTCGCACAGCCTGATGAAAATCAACACGATAGTTATTGGTGGTTCAAATTTGCTAAGTCAGCATTTCATCAATGTTTCCATGTAGATTGTTCATTTCGTGTTTTCTTTCCATTTCTTCATTTGAAGGTTATCCGACTTTGCATGTCTTTTTTTCCTCTCAATTTATCACTTTCCTGCAAGTGCGATCTACTCGTAGATTTTTGGTTAGGTGATTTTCTGTGAGCAACTCCATTATGCATTGTCTGTTTACTATGGTCGTGTTTACTGCTCCTAATCACCAGCATTGTTCAGTATGGCTCATATGGTGCGATTGGGCTTCGGTATTATCGACCTTAGGATTTCCCAGTGTCAGCATACGGTTTATTATTATTCTGAGACCTGTGGTCGGGTAATTTTCTGCAGGAACTCCATGTTCAGCCCTTTCCTGTACAAATGCATGAATTGTGTGCAGCTTGCAAGAGTACCGTTGAAAGCTCCTGCTACACAATGGTGAGCAAGGTGCACTCGTGTTTCCTACACAGTCATCCATGCGGTGATTAGGCAAGTATGACCTATGCCAATGGTTCATGCACGGGGGGGGGGGGGGGAGGAGGGGGAGGGGGATTAGCAAGTTCTTGTGGACAGACTGGCGTTGGTTGGGTTTCGGTCACGTGTGAGCCTCCAGTTTAGCGGCCATCCCGGCAATGTTCTTCGAAATGGCTGGGTACTTACGCGGATCTCCTACTCTTGTAGAAGCGGTAGGAACTTGGCACGGAGGGCTGGTATATGTGGATTTTGTTTACTAGTACATGGTATTTTATTCATAATATTACGTACGTATACATGTACGTATACATGTACGTATATGTGCATGCTAGTACTAGTTCTGTATATTGTGGACTTCCTATTCTTTTAAAATAGTTTTAGGGGCTGGAGGAACTTGGCACGGAGGGCCTACAGTTGGCACCGGCGGATTATGCCGGCATAATTATTGGCATAATTTGGAGGTTGAAAATTTGGAGCATAGTGAGGCATCCTTTCGGAGGTAGGAGCATAACTACATGTTTGGTATATACAGAAGCCTTGCTTGGTAGTTTAACATGTTTTTCGATTTTGACAGCATGTTTACGCGTCCTCGCCTTGCAACATGCTGTAAAAATCGAACTACATGTTTGTACCGCAATTCCAGTATGTAAGCTACACAATTGTGCACAATGCAGCTGATCAGTGCTGGTGAGTGGTGGTCCGCATGGTAAAGGGTTCGGAGTAGCCCTTTTCCAAAGATGCTGGCCACTTTTTTTCGCAACTTTCCGTTGTTTTGCAAGAAATCGCAACTTTCTTCATTTTCACAAACTACTTCGCAACTTTTCCGAAAAGGTGTGCAGAGAAGCGCGCTGGATCGAGACCCCTATCAAAATAATAAATTCTACTACTACTACTACTACTACTACTACCATCGACCAAGCTATGGTTATTGTTCTAACAATTAAAAAAATTGAGGTATAGTTGATGTTCGGTCATGGTGGAAGGAGAGGTGGAGCTACGGGAGAGATGAGCTGATTTTTCGCAGGGTGAGGGTGACATCGGTTGGACGAGCATGACGATTACGAAGACAGTTGAACATGATCATTTTCAAAGGTAACTGAAACTCCAACTAATTTGGCAATGAAAAAATCTTTTTACAAAAGATATCAACGAATGAATAGAAGGAGTCATGTTTTCTCTTTCCATGTTGATGTCTAGCATGCATGGTCATCTTGGTATGGGGATATTCACGTATTTTGTTGTACTAATGGCCACTTATTATTATTATTACACGCACGTCCGCGTTTACGTCAACAGTAAGTCCACGTATTCGCATGTGCCAGAAGACAGGCAGAGTGGGCAGGGAGGAAAACAAAAATAAACAAGAGCAAAAAATAAATGTAAGACAGCAGGCGACAGGCACATAACTCATGTTCGATGATAGGTGCTCAATGCACGGGATCTATTCGAAAGATCAAAAAAATACAACAAGAATAACAGACAACGACGATAGGTTTGTAGCTCATGGTCGATGGTAAGTGCTAAATGCAAGGGGCCACTTGCAAGTACGAAAAGGCACAATTTTCCGAACTTTGAGGCTCCATAAGTACAACAAAGTGAGTATGTATCCCTGAGTGCCAAAGCATATTATGAGGATTTCGCGAGCATAATGCGAGAATCCATGAAAGCATAATTCCATGATTTCGCGAGCATAATCCGCCGGAGCCTAGCCTACAGTCCATTCAGAAAAAAATGAACTTCTAGCTTTTGGCCATAAATGGGTCAAACGTTGAGTTTTTTTAGAATTTTTTTCTGCAATCCCATATGGAATCCTCTTCCAATTATGTTTCTGAAGTTTTTTTGTCCAAAAAGCAAGCCATAGCAAGAATAGGATTTCGGCCAGGTTTTGCCCCAAAAGCACTGAATTGGGAAAAACCATCAAAATCCAGGCCGTTTGACCCCGCCTGCAACAGTGCATTCTGCGGTTCGAACCCCAGTTCAGGCACCCTTTTTGGACCCTTTTTCAAATTTCAAAGTTCGCAGCACTGCACTGTGTACGATGAAATCACGAAAAATCGCCAAATACGGGAGCTCGCCAGAGCCAGGACCCATCTTTTTATGAATGGACTGTAGGGTGCATATGCATGTATACTGTTGAAATCAAAACTGTATAACCTCCCAATGGGGCTGTTAAGTGATGACGTCACAGTTCCTTCGATACGCATAGCAACGATCCCACTGGGGACAAACAAAAGTAGCGTCGTCCCCACCGACCCAGTTGTCAGTGGCAACATATAGGAATCGTGTACATTTCTTTGTTTCTTCTTTGCTGTTTTCAGTGAGTGTTTTGTTTTCTCTTTGTCCTTGATCTCGACGATGTTGTCGTGCTCATTACCTTACTGAGACGTTTCTTGTGACTGTAGCCAGTGTCATGGAGGATTTTATTGGCGTGACAAGGTAGATCGCCGAGATCGAGCGTGAAAAACGCTCTGCATTAGTAGCTCCTGTAGAATGTTTTCTGGGTTGGCGTATCCATGGTCAACAAAACCAAGGTGCAAGACAGCATGAGAGATCGTGTAAACGATGTGAACTCCAAAAGGTAAGCTCCTGAACAAGTGGAAAGATATGGGTATTTACAAACTCTCTCTTCATCCATCGATTGGCGCTATGCATTGCATTTTGTCTTCACAGATAATCTGGCCAAATTTATTGTAACTAGAGAGTGCAATCGTGCACTGCTTGGGGCCCATCCCAATGTCATCACATGGCTGTGGTGACTAGTGTATATCTGGGAGAATTTTTCCTCGACTGATACGGAGTGCAGGTGGATCGATTATGAGAAATGCGAACATGTGAAGTAAGTAATTAGTTGTGTCGAAGAAATGTCCAATAAAATAAAATTTACTTTACACTCAAACATACACTGTAGATGTAAATCAAGAGTACATAACCCCCCAGAGTGTGCAACGCCGATCGAGCTCTGCATAGGGTCTCGGTCGAGCGGAATCGGATCTTCTGATGTCATGCGTACACTCCACACCAGCGCAAGGCCGGTCTCGAGGCAGGGCACCATTGTTTTTGATCCAAGAGTACCCGCGACTCCCCGGGTTCCCCTCAGATGTGTACGGTATTATGACGCAAAGATCCGATTCCGGTCGACCAAGACCCTATGCAGAGCTGGATCAGGCGTTGCACACTCTGGGGGGTTATGTACTCTTGTGTACATGTAACATCATGATAATGATTCCATCTTCATTGTCCCGCAACTGGTACACCATACGCACCGAATACATGGTGTGTGTGTGTGCGCGCGCGCAAGCGCGCGCATGTACATGCACACACTCTCATGCGTGGCCGAGTCGGCCAGATGAACAGACCATGCATTTACACGAGGTGTCCGTAATGTCATTGGAACGCTGTACTTTATGACTTTATTCCAAAAGAGTATGTCTTGCCCCTGACGAATGGAGTTGTGTCTGTGCTCAGCGGGTATCGGGCTATGACGCAACACTGCAATCAGCGCTGCAATTAAAAGAGCACTGCATGGATTATTTTGACTAACTTCCTTTGCGTTTACTTGGTTGAGCCCGTGGTTTCATTTCTGTGTTCTGTCATGATTGGCCTCTGGAAATAATCAGAGTGGATGTCATTTTGCCATATATGTGTGCCTTGTGCGACAGGTTCAAGGCTAGATGCACTTCACATTCGGCGTGCGATCTCAGCGTCTGGGACCTGTCTTGGTTGGATGATTATTCAAGCCTGATACTACTCGACACACCAATGTTCATGTCAATGTAATTTTTTCAGAGCTGCACTATTTACGTGTTGGCGCTTACTTCGGTGTTACTGTTAGCGTGTTTCCCCCGGATTGTTTCTATCATCATGATCGTGTGTTCTTGGGCTGAGCGAGCACATGCACAAGTGTGCAGCTATAACCCTGTGTATCTTTGGTTACACTTTGTTCTGCAATGCATGTACTTTGTAACATTATGTGCTTGCACTGCTTTGTCTGGCCTGCGTATTTCAGGACTATTCAGTGCATTAGACCCAGGTTTGTTTGGTTGCCGGATGACCTCTTGTTGCGTCGCTCTGTATTTGTGTTCATCAATTTTTGGGCTTGAGAATTGAGCTGTTGTGTGGTTCCCAATATGAAAACATCATGCTGGTGCTCTGTGTTTCGATTATCGACTGTCGGAGCAGTCATGCATTTATTAGCAGAACGGTCAATACTGTAGTCTTTTCACGTGTTTGTCTTTTTTGTGTTTTCGCCGGGGGTATCAGCGGTAACGTTGCACACAGAACGGCAGTGTTGCATCACTGGACAACCCTGCTTCTGCATCTGACTTAATTTCCCCAGGATCTGGTGCAGTTACACCAGACAGCCACTTCCTGTAAACACGCAAACAGCAAAAGAAGAGATCCCGCAAATCAGGAAAAAACATTATGGAAAATATAGAGTACTTCTTTTTGAAGTAGATCATACAACATTCAATAATCTGGAGTAATTACAGTGAGACAAACACTTCAAACAGTGCTCTCTCTCTCTGTCTCCATCCTTCCAAAAATACCCTATGACAATTCCCTAGAATTATTTTATATTCTTAGGACATCATTCTGAACATAATAAATTCTTCCATGGGTCTTCAATCACCACGGAGGGCGAAAATATATCTAAGTCATGCAGTTTACGGGAGGTACGAGCTGTCATGGATATAGAGGCTGATATTGTGCCAGCGTGAGGGCAGAGACAGAAAGAAGACACTGATTTCTTGAACAACTCACCTATATATAATCGAATCCACAAGGAGCGCTCATACTTTGATCCATCAGGACGCGAAACATCTTCAAAGCACTCTCAAACACGGAGTTTTACTGTGGGCAGCCAATTTCACAGCCATCATGAAGGCACTCGACGACTACAGGAGTTTTGTAGAGGAAAGAACAAGGAGTAAAGAGCGACAACAATCGCTTGAAGAAAAAGCAAAGAAAAACAACTGTCTCTCCAGTCATTTAGATGCTGTTGCCCTTGACATCTGGTTCCATCCAGAGGACGCGACTTTTGTTTGTCCCCAGTGCTCTCCGTTGCTATGCGTATCGAAGGAGCCGTGACGTCACACTTAACAGCCCCATAGTGTGCAGCTCTGCAAATGGTGTCTCTAGCGGCAAAATGTCACATCATGTGTCCCAGGTACGTTTTGTACTGCGTACACACGAAAGATAGCGTGCGCGCAATGCCATGATCATTATACTAGCAATAAAAACTGCTTTAGGGGCCATCCGTAATAATTATTATCGATCTTTTTCACGAAACGAAAAACTTTGGTTTATGGATGGGTGGGTAGCGACCGGTTTCGTTTTGAAAAAACATCGAAAGCGGAAAAATCAACGCTCACTGCATGCATTGATGCATGCATACATAGTCATTGTGTACATCGAAGTAGATCGACAGTACACTCTACGTCGCGCGGCCAAGCAAGTGCTGCATGGATGCACTGATACCACTCTGTACTCAGTGCAGTGAGTTCCTTTCGTCCTCGGATGACTTCTCCGACGAGGACCTAGCAGTCATCATGATCATTCACTCTGGGACCGACGACAGAATGATAGATAAATACTTCGTTCCAGCCGCCGATGCAAGAGAATTTCAAATTACGGAGCGGGGCGCACGCCAAGTAAATTCTCACGCAAATATGGGGAACGCCAGCCGCTGAAGACGATGTCGTCGTAATGTACCAGGAAGAATCTGATCGTGCTTATGGTGGGGAAGCCATGGAGAGTGATCCCCGTGTCGACAGTCTTCCAGAGACGGAAAATTAGGCCATCGACTTTCTACGTACCTGATTGACGGCAGTGCGGCGTGCGTGCGACTTTACGGAGCTAACCGACAGCGATTCTGGGGCGATGCTGCTCTCATTTGCGAGCGAGGCACGACCACTGAAGTCTGTGATAGCTATGGCGTTTGTTTCCGCTCCGAAGTTGACTTGTTTTGGCAGTATCATGTCAATGTCGGAACTCTGACGATTTGCAAGTGTACAATTCCCGTGTTTAGACGTAGAGGTGCCAATTATTTAGCAGCGTATGTGTGTGGTAGGTGAAAATAAATGTTTCCATGGTCAAGAAGTAGTACCAGGCTTCCAAGAAAACATAACTAATTTACTTACTTGCACAATCACACAAAATGTGGCCTCGCTGTGTTGTAACAGCCAATCAAGATCATTTTCTGCACAAAGTCTCAAGTCAATTAATTTTTTCGTTTCAAGGGGGTGGGTGGGTGGGGGTGGGTCATAACTAAACTTTTTCGTTTCGTGAAAAAGATCGATAATTACGGATGGCCCCTTTAATATGGCAGTTTTCTAAAAAAAAGGATGGAAAGCGAGAAGATCTTTTCCCCTCGTGGTCCTCTTTCCTATTCATGCATGTTGGCGCAGTACTCGTACAAGTCACCCATGAAGTGTCAGACCAAGATGGACTCCTGGGCAGACTAAACAAGTGTTGAAAGCAGTATTTTTTTAAAACTAGGATCCTCAAGTGTCGCGAACTGATGGTGGTGTTGGTGAGAAGGAGAGCTCTGTGCCAGAACTTTGCAGCCTAGAGAGCGTGTGTGGGCAGGCGTGTCTTTACCACCATATTTATCAACCATAAGTACAGCTGTAGTGGTGTCTTCGAGTTCATTCTCCCGAGTCAAGCTCCGTATGAAGACATCCAAGAAGAAGATTGCCTGATGAATCCAGCGGGGACGAAACGTACGTCGCAATCGAGCTATGTCGTTGCTGTGTCATCATCTATGTGCCATGCGCTACTTGATGTACCAGCCTGCAATGCCGGATACCGCCAGCCATGCATCGACCAGGCGCCAGGCGCGAACTGATGGTGGTGGTGGTGAGAAGGAGAGCTCTGTGCCAGAACTTTGCAGCCTAGAGAGCGTGTGTGGGCAGGCGTGTGTTTACCGCCATATTGCCAGGTGTGTTTTTACCACCATATTTATCATCCTCAAGTGTTGTGATTATTGTGAGGTTTTGTGTGAAATTATAATTTTCGGCTATCACATTTCGCTAATTTCTTACTTTTTAGACGGGGTCCATGGACTAGAACACAATAACCTTTTTTAGAAAACTGCCATAAAGCAGTTTCTATTGCTATAATTTCTTTTGTTCTTTTAGCTAAGAAAAGCTAAGGATATTATTATAATAATTGTGTCACCAATGGAATGCCCTAAATGATGGCCTACATGTAGCGCCTCTACATGTGCATCATATCAAATTCAATACCGTATTATACGCATTGATGTGCAAGCCTTTTCTTGCAGAAAATGGCACTAGTCTTGCATATTCATGTTCTTCTGCAGGGGAATCATATGGGTAGTGGCGGTGATCCTTTTTTTAATACTCGGGTCATTCTGTGGATGTTGCTGTTGCAGAATTTTATGACTGTCATAAAATTGTCTTGTCTTTCAGAACATTCAGATGTCCACACCCTAAATCACATTTACTTGAGAATTGTAACCAGGTGCCCGCAGATGTTTTGTTGATTCTGTGTTTATAATTGTGGTCATGGGTTGTCGTGATAAGGTCATCCTGCATCATATTGTATTGAAATCGCAATCCTGTTGATGTCGATACACCTTTTGGAAGTAGTTCAATGACTTGTAATAATAATAATAATAACTTCAAAGTGTTACAAGTCCAGGTCGCGGATCGTGTTATGGCGGAGAGCCGGGTATCCACCAGTTGGGCACGAAAGAGCATGGCTGGTGTTAAACGCCTTGCCAACACACACAAGTGGATGGCAGGCGGGGAGGGACCCAGCCGAACCGCAGACAGCGTGCGTATCTGAAGGCGCCTTTGTGGAGGACAAACCCGAACTGCTTCAGGGGCCGGCAAATGAGCCAGTTGGACGCTCCTTTCTCGATCGCCATCCCCAGGGTTCGCTGAGTGGGCGCATCACATGTGGCCAGGAGCTGACTGGCTCGGTCTCGAGCGGCTCTCCTGGTTGCTGCTGCTGTAGTTAGCTTGGCAGCATGGATGGTGGTGGGCACTTCGTCCATGTTGGCGTCTTGGTCCAGTATCCGGCTCACGAGGATGTTGGTGACAGCGACAGACATATTGTATTGGTCCGTCAAAGACCTCAGGTCAATGAGACCAAGACCACCTTCTCGGCACGGGAGGGACAGTATGGCGTGCTCTTCGTCACCAGGTGCGGGGCGACCGGTTAGAGCAGGGATGAACCGCTGTCGGATGGAGTGCTCCAGCGGGTCTAGCAGTCCACTGATGCCTGGGACACTCCGGGCCACAAACGACCACTTGTGGCGGAGGCCATGAATAAAAGCAGAGTATTCCGCTTGTGGCTGAGTGGTGGCGAAGTCAGCCAGTCGTCCAACCTCTAGCGCCTATGTCTCTACCTTCTCTGTGACATATTGCTTGCAGAATTCGGGAGACCCAAGTACCGCACCGAGATGCTGCCAGCCATCCGTGCGAATCTGGACTGCCGTGTCAGCAAACAGGGATTCTACTTCCTGAAGATGCTCCGGCTTCACAACAAGGACCGACTTGGCATCATTGGGTAAGTATCCATATGCTGGGCCTCGTTGCTTAAGCAGTGACCACCAGTGATGCAGGTTTCGAATGGTGGAAGCGGCAGTGGAGTCGTCTGCATACCACGACTGGAGTGCTCCGCTCTGAGACACTTCCTGGATGAGAGGAACGGTGGCCAGGGCATACATAGCCATGGCTAGTGGATCTCCCTGCGTGGTGCCTTCGCAAGACAGGAGACATTCACCATCCACAAACAGCCGAAATTCTTGCATGAGGGATGTACGGAATTGCCGGGGGTGTTCAATCTCCCGAATGCACGTGGGTAATGAATTCCAAACGGATAGACAATGGAATAACATACGTCGAATCCATGACCTGTGCCTAGCGCCTCTGGCAGATCACGAAGCCTGTCATGATTATTATCCATATAAAAACCGCTCTGTGAGTGGTTCTGAAAAACCTTTACTGGTGCTGCCCCGTCGTAAAAGTAAGAAATAATTATTAGAACTGGCCCATTGTCCCCCCAAATGCGAACTGATCCACCTAAATCGCGAATGACGGGACCCCAACGCACCAGTAGCACGAGGTCGGGAGGTCACAGGATCACAGCAATAATATTATCATAGGGTAACACCACCTACCGCTAGTACAGTACATGGCCTATGGTCCGGACCAACGTCCCCGTCTGCATCCACAGGTAGGAACCTCGTGC